GCGAAAAGCTCGAGTGCGACCTTGAACTCAAGTTCCTTGATCTTCTCTCGGACGAGCTCTCTAATTCGAGGCCGGTGCTCAATTGTGGCAGGCGCGGCAACTTTTGGCATTGCCGGCACGGAAAACTTTTGGGAATTGGCTGGAATGATTTCCCAAACATTGCCTACGAGCTTTGCAGTTGCAGGAGGACATTGAGTTGCCTCAAGCCGGGCCGGTGAAGATTTCTTCTTTTTGCCCTTGCTGCCAGATGATGACGCTGGCTTTTCCTCCTGCTCCTTGGCTGCTTTCTTTGCTTCTTCCTCGATGATCAGCTTCCTGTCTTGGGGTCCTAACATCTTCCACAGTTCTGAGTCAATCCCCTCCGGACGCTTTGAACCTTTGTAGTTACGTACAATCCGGTGACCATCCCAATGATGTCCATCTGGAATAATTTCACCTTTGGGGGTCAGTTTGAGATCTGGAAATACGGGCGCTTCGGGTGCATCAGGCTCGACATCGCTGTCGGCTGGTAGAGGCGTACCTGGCTCGTATTCATACTCATCTTGCGGTGGATGCAAACTGGACTCAAGAGGCACAGCTTTGGGTGTCTGCGGAATGACCTGGTCCTCGAGGCGATCGGCTTTGGGTGCTTTTGAGTCGATCAGAGCTTTCAAAGGAAAGATGAAACCCTCGGATGGCAATTCCAACCTCTTTGTTCTTTGGATTGTCAGTGCACCCCAGTTGACATGATAATCTGCGGCTTCCAACTTGGCAACTAAGTATTCACCCTTCCAATCATGACCTGGTTGGATGTAATACCCAAGGAAAATTCCTTCATTTGCTGTTGGGGAGAGCTTACCTGATGTGTTATCCAACCTCTTGGGGTTATTCCAGAACAACACTTTGGCACCAAATGGAATGTGCATTGCAGGGAACTCTTCACCAAACCTGAGTTGCCATGGGGAATCACTGCCGTCAAGCTGGGGGCTTGCATTGATCGCGGTCGCATGATGCTGCATGGCCAATGGCCACATCTTCAAAGGAAGTCCTGATTGCAACAAGTTGCTCCGGGCACCTTCCAACATCTGACGAACTTCGCGCTCAGCAAAAGACTTTGATGAATCTACGTATTCAATGGAAGTTTGGTGTCTGTAACCCAAATCCTTGATGGCCCTGATCAATTCTGGGGAATTGTCAGTGTACACAACTTGAACATCATCCTTTGATCCAATGAAGTGATTCAAACCATCAACACAGCTTTGTGAGTCCTTGGACTGGCTAGGGTAGACATACCGATATTGGGTGTGCAGATCTTTCAACACCAACGCAACTTGCTCCCCCCTGAAACCCTCTTCTACATTTTTCTTGATGATGACATGATCCCCAATGATGTGGTCACCAAACACTTCAGTTTCGATTCTCTTCTGACCACCCTTCTTTCGTGCCTGAGGTGCCATCATCCTTGCTCGTTGGCAAGTTCTGCAAAAGGGGTTCTTGGGGAAATGCGTGTACTGATGTTGGGTACTTGCAGCTTCAGCCAACAGATCCTCAGTCTTGCGGCTTCGGATGTACTCCTGCTGAGCGTCATCCTCCACCAACTCATCCAACTGCTCTTCATCTTGGGCTTCGTCCCGCTTGGCTTTTGAGCTCGACCGTGAGGTCGGCATTGCAAACAACTTTTTGAGGTGCTTATCCTTTTGAAATTGATCTTTGGGATAAACCTTGCAACTATCATCCAAGATTGGGACATGACCTTCGATCTTGAGCTGGACGACCTTGTCATCTGGACGGACTAGGATTGGTTTGCCATTTGCAGGCCATACGAAACTGTAACCCTGATCTACACATCTCGTTCCTACGGAGAGCACAGCTGGGGTATGATCAAGCACATACGGATGCACGGGATCTGGCAATGCGGACAACTTGACATCAGCAACTTCGTTTGCCTCAGTCGAACCGTTGGCTGTGACTAAGGAAATCGGATGCTCGGCTGCACGGCAGTTCTTGGCACTTACATCCCTCAGCATTCCTTTGGACACAAGATCGGATTCACTACCTGAGTCAACAAGCCAACTAACGCCGGCCTTTGGCGCAGCTGTGGCAATTGACGGGAAACGACCAATGTCTCTAAGAGCTTTGGGACCGCTAATGAACCTGCACTCTTTGCATGTGATGTCACGTGTGTCCTCATTCCAACAACAAAACCCACAACTAGGTGCAACATCTGAATCATGAAGTTTCACAGTTTCCTGAAGCTGTCTTGCACGAACCTGAGCCTCATGCTGTTCAACCTTGGATGAAACCGGAACATCTTCAGCTGTCTTGTACACCTCAGTGAACTCTCTTGGACGGTGCTTGACTGGGACTTGACGACCAACTGCTTTCACCTCGATCACATGTGGGGCCTTTCGGAATCTAAGACGCTTCATGCTGACACTTGCCTCATCAGTGCACGAAGTTGCCTTCGGCTGTTTTCGGACGATGCATGCAAACTTCTGGATCAAACATGGAGCGGCTGTGGAATCCTTGCCCTTCTTCTTGGGAGCGGGTGAATTGGCCCTTTTGGTGTCTTTGGTGGCGGCAGCGGCTTTGTCATCATGTTTATAAAAACATTTGTCACCACGTCTGCACTTTCCCTGGGCATGATAGATGCATGGGGTTTTAGCCATTTCTTCTTTAGACATCTTCTTCCCCTTATCATCCTTATTGCCCCTTGATGGTGAACGTGTTTTGGTTCTTCTGGGTGATTGAGTTCGAGATTTATCATCTTTGACATGCTTGAATGGACACTTCTTCCCCTTATCACAGGTACCCTTTTGGAACTTATAGCAAATCTTGTCGCCTTTGCCACCTCGTTCCTGCGATCTACCGCGACTTGGAGAGCCCTTTCGGCCGCCGCGACCATCGCCTTTGGCGGGTGCGGCCTTTGTGTCCTTAATCCCAGCCTTGTTCTTCTCCGCAATGCGGTTCCTGTTCTCCCTCAATCGTTCACGATCGATCAAGTTCTTCATGGATTGGTGAAGAAAACTGTAAGACTTTTCATGGGATTTCTCATGAGCACGGTCAAACACCTCGATGTCATATTTCAGCAACTGACTTGGTCGGATCTGCCTCAACAAGATGTCCCTTAACACAGCATCATCAGGGGTGACAGCCATGCCAGCTAGGGTAGCATCCCATTTGTTGATGAATCTTCGGAGATCCTGGACAGTATCGCCTACTTTGACAACACCCAAAAGATCTTCTACTCTGTAAAGGCTACCTGCTTCTTCTGATGTCTTGAAGTAGTCCTCAAACATAAGCAGAACATATCTTCCCCTGACCTGGATGCCTTTTCGGGATTGCTGCTCCTTGAAATTCAAGATCCTAGTTGCGAGGTCCCCTCCGGCTGAGCGCGTGAGCGCTGCTGATAACTTTGTATCCAGCGTAAGGAACTTTCCAGGATCTTGGAGTTTCTTCTCCAACTGCTCTCTGGCGCACTCTTGATCGTACACCTCGTTGAGCCAGAGCCACGCCTCATCCGGGCGATCTGAACAGCTCTTCACTTCATCCCTGACATGATTCTTCCAAGTTCTATATGACTCCGGAGCGGGCATGTTGTTCAGCTTGATGAGTTCAGCCTCCTTAGTTTTTGGCTTATCCTTTTCTTCCCTTTGGGTTAAGGCTTTCACCAATTCAATAAGATCTGAGGGACCCATTACTTGCTGTTGCTTGGTTGCGCTCTTGGGAGATTCATTTGGGGGAGTTTTGATAGCTTCAGTGGGAGTGAAAAACCCTGACTGCGTTGGCAATTGGGGCTGGTCGTTGCCGACAGCCGGCTTTTGCTTGGGACTGCCACCTTTGAGCAGTTCATCCAACTTGGCCTTTGCTTCCTGCGCCAACACTGCAGGCGTCTTAAACTCAAGAATCGGCTCATCACTGCCTCTGGCAGCCTGTGCATCGGATGCTTTGGGAGTGGCAATATTGAAGTGGGGCACGCTAGTGGTAGCGGCCGGCTCGGCGTTCTGGACGGATGCTTTCGGAACGGAGGCATGCTGCGCTTTGGCAACATGCTTTAACTGCTCCTGAAGATCATCGATTTGGTCCTGAAGGCTAAGATTCTGAGCCGCTGCCTCGTTGATCTTGTCGGCCATCTCCTTCTTGTAGTTCTCAAACTCAGTCCTCAAACTGATGAACCTGGCCTGATCAATTGCAGCCTGATCTTCATATTGCTTCTTTGTGGCAGCTATGGCATTCTTTGCATGTTCAACTGTCTGTGCATAGGAAGCTTCGAATTCACTAGTGATACGTTTTCTTTCCTCTGCAATTTTCTGATCATGCTTTGTGTTTGCCTCTGCCTTTACATCCTCTATTCTTTTGTCATGCGATGCCTGAGCCTGATTCAACCTGACCTCCATCTCGTCGCCTCGTTTCCTCTCCTCGTTGAGGGCACTAATGGCATTACCTTCAACCTCCTGCAGCCTTTGCTCATACTCCTGCTCCTGCATTACGAGTCTACTTGACCATTCGTTTCGAATTGAGTCAACTACTCCATGCATTATCTGAAGGTGCCTCTGTTCAGCTTCCCTCATGACTTGCAGGGTATTCCCACTAGTAATCTGGGACAGGTTGTTTTGTATGAAGGTAAAGTACGCAACAACGGGTTGGAACATTGTTTCGTCATCCATCGGCTCGGGGTTGCCCCCGGCCATATTAGGCACAGCGACAGCCGATGGACCTGACCCTGGAACGGCGAGAGGATGGTCAATTGGGGTCCCCATAGCAAAGTAGTGAGACTACGGCTGATAACCTGTATTTTACAAGGTCAGCCAACAATTGGGTTAATACCAATGGGGTGAACCTCAAATCCGCTAAGCTGCTAGCTCTGTTTTGAACCAACGCTATCGGGCAGATCGATGATATATATACAATACATGGTTTTACTGCAGGAGTTTTTACATATACTTATAATTTATGATGGTGGTTTCGCCATGGTCACACACCAAAAACGTGCCAGACCCTACCCAGCGCCAGATCCGCGCCTCATGGTTCTGATGAGGCCGTTGTCCCAGACCAGCCACATCGCATCGGGCAAACGCACCTCTCGCGAGGTTTCCATGGAGGACCCACGATGGGATGTGGGGTCCCAAGAGATAGAACCATCGATTTTTTGTATTACTGGAAGTAATGGAATCATGGATATAATGTGTAATAGATGGTTCTATCACATTATACATATATATATAATTAAATAGAATAATATTATTGGATATTACTGGAATATGGAATCATGAATCTATATTATATATAAATAGAATATTACTGGATTTTGTGGGATACCTAATACCGTGCAACTGGAATTCATGAGACAATGGATGACAATGGGATATTACCCTGGGTAGTTTAACTTAGCTGGGGGAAATCACCATTTTAAAGCGGTACATGAATCATCGAACGAAATGGACCATTTTCCACAGCTAGGTGAAAATACAACATGTTACCCTCTGGTGAACTAACATAGCAATGGAAAATCACCATTTTTCATGGGAAAATCCACTATAAATGGCCATTTTCCATTACTATGTTAGTTCACCAGAGGGTAATCAAACTTGAATGTTTTAAACGTCGTAAACATGGTAGTCACACCCGTGGGACCCAGTGGGACTTGTGGAAACCAGCAAAGTGGGCATTTTTTCACCAATGGAACAACCATCATTGAGATTTGTCATGGGATATAATAATGGAATGCCATGGACAAGAGATATTTGCAACGAATGCCAACCATCTACCTCTGTCAATAGGGAAAAAAAACCTTAATATGTAGGTATTATATATATTATATATATATGTAATATTTATGCACAGGTCTTTACATACAAAGATGTATTTAAATAATCACATCTTCAGCCAAGGTGGTTTCCACGCAGAAAAATCTTGGCAGCCCAACGAAATGGTACAGGCGGACGATTTTGGAGAGGTTCAGCAGGAGGCTGGCGTTAAAGGAAATGATCCAAAGGTAGCTGGTAACCTCAGGCGCCGGGAACTTGGGGGTCATGGAATGTCATACGCATCAGAACCAGGTACCCCAAAAAACTCATGGTCACAGTAACGCTTAAGAATACCCATATTGAGATAAAATTTACTGTCCCATACTCAATCCAGAATGATGACCATTAATCCCATATTGTACTATAAATTCCCATAATCACAACCAACATTTACAGTACAAGGTATTGAGATTTGACCCATACTATCCCATGTTGCAGCAAATCAGTAAGGTCTCAAGAGTCTGAAACACAAACACGTTTTGTTCACAACTCGTTTCGAGATTTCCCTTGAAATTTGGGCATGCAAACACTGAAGAGCTTCACCAAATACATCAGGTTGGTCATCCTGGCCACGGAACAATGCGAACAATGCTGGTCCAGTTGGATCAATAACTCGGCATGGTAGGCATGGAAACACAACCATGTGTAGATGTGTATGGATGTATACTGTATACTGCGCATGTATAATTGGGGTATATATATGTGATGTATGTAATTTTTGATTCATGTGAGTGTATGGTGTACTGTGATATAATATAAATACATACTGACTGTCAAACATAATATATGCAGAACACGTACGCACACATTGATTTCCCCGCAGGTAAATTACCTTCAGGTTTTCGGACATACAGAAGTACTGCATTTGATCCCATTCATGAGGTGTCCAAACACCTATCCATATCACTTTTAACCCTCCTGTATGAAAACACAACCCTATTGAAGCATGAACGCTTCTTGTTTGGGATACAAATAGCACGTCAAACAGGTGCTTCCAAGTTGTTGTCCTTGAAACTGGCCACTTCAGTGCATTTTCCATCTACTGAGTTCAAGAACACAAAAAATCAAGACATCAAGTGTAGGATAAAACATGGAACACTACGATCACCATCAAATTACCCTCTGGTAAACATACAAAAAACTATGGAAAAATCCACCATTTTTAATGGGAAAACTCACTATTTCAATGGCCATGGCTTCAATAGCAAACTGTTGACATAACCAGAGGGTAGTCATTTTTGGTTCAGTGGAATGTCCTTCAGTCTTGGCTGAAGCCGTTCCCTGGTTTGAATTTTAACCATCACAATGACCAACGGTACAGTTGTTGCAAGCCTGGCTAGTTAACGTTGCAAGCAATGCAAGCAATGCAAGCAATGCAAGCAATGCAAGCAATGCAAATAATGAACATAGCGACATACTCCTATTCTACTATGCAGCAGTTCAGTCTAAAGCATACCACCAACAGGCTATATTTCATTATCTACCATATGTTTTAGGGGTAAATGTTGGCACCCAACGGTGAACACAACACCAAAATAGCTGGTCTTTCATAGAAAACTTGATCCATCCCCGTAAATATAAATCATGGTGAATCTTAGATCATGTCAACCCTGGATTAATAAACCCCTGGGTTGTTTAATTGGGAGGGTACCATGTAAGTATTAGATTGTGACTATTGGAGGAATACCCCCTAATTAATAAACCATGGTTTATTAATCCGGGGTTGACATTACCTGTCAAAACAACAATTGTTTTAGCTGCTTAGTACATAATAAAATCATTGATAGCATAAGATTGAAGTACTAAAGTATCTAAGCAAGGTTGACCTGAAAAAATCATCAACCAACAGGAGAGGCAGCTGCACCGGTCCCCGTGGCCTATACATTCGGATCTTGGAGGGGTCAGTGACTTCCACCTTCCGTGAGGGATGCCTTGGTGATTCGTCCACCTTTCTTGAAAGACGGACCTTTTAGATCAGCCATCACACACATAATATTTATATATATATATATGGGTAAATTATAATCTTTCACTAACCTGAATTAAGGCCATTTGGGGATGATTTCCCTTATTAACCATGATTCCAGTGAGGTCGCAGTGAGGTCGTTATAATTTACAGTACCCATATATATATAGAGTATATATATACAGTACATACATACATATAGATTATGTCTGGATACATGTGGAATATGGATATACGATGTTTTGCTATGTATAAAATATATAATCATATATGTATAACTTATGATATATACAGATAATATTTATATTCCAGATGTCTCAAATGCACATCTTGCTTCACGAAGTCGAAGCTCCCAGTTGCCACAATGGATGGAAGTTGTGGGTTGGTTTATGGGGGAAAAAACTACTGCTGAACCCTGGTCTTTCCCCAAATTGGTTGGGTTTTTCTCTAAAGTTTCATTTTTGAACCAGGGACAAACATGTTTTCGAATGCTGGAGTTGCACACAATGTTTGCAGCTTTTGGCTGAAATTTGCAGCCCGCATTTTTTCGGAATTCTCAGCCGCACACAGAAAGGACATCTTCAGTTCCTTGGCCCAGTGGCAGCGGGATTTTGCTCAGAAATATGAACCATCATTCCACTTACTCGTGCTTACATGACTGGTTGGTGGTTTCAACCCCTCTCAAAAATATTAGTCCATGGGAAGGATTATTTCATATACTATGGAAAAAAAAAATGTGTGAAACCACCAACCAGCTAGGGAATGGATGGGTTGCTGGGGAATGATCAAATCCAGAAAACTCTTAACAATCATCCTATAAAAACCCATTCCCTATTAAGCAGCAGTAGTCAAGGTTTGCTCTTCTGAAAGCATATTCCCTTCCAGAACTGACAATCTCTACTGTTTACTTCCTTTTGTCAAGTAGAAGCACACACACAAACATATCAAACATATGATGCTCAAACTTTGATGAAGTGCATCCAAAGTTCCAGGAGCAAATAGGACAGGTATCCCAGATCGCACAGCAAATCAACGATCATCAACCCCCTGCGGCAAAGTTTTGAAGCTGGGACTGGCTAAGCTTACATGATACATGGCCTAGCCTGGTCTTATGGAGTGATCTGGGCATGTCCAAAACATGCTTTTACCACCTAAAGAAACGCCACTTGATGGTTTTCTCCACTGATAAACCATCCATACCCTATGTTTGGCACCGGTGACCACAGGTACGGTGTAGGCGCCATTTTTTGGGGCCCCAAATCCATGAAGCTAGCATGGCACTCTTTTTTTCACACACTGCAGAGTGGAATTATTGTGTTCAACATGTCCTACTGAATGCATATATGGCCACTCAAGGTGCATACAATGTGAGGCCCTCCAGTGATGTTTGTTGGTTTAGGTTCGCCCCAGTAACTATAGTTATAAGTACCATAAACCATAGTTATTGTAGTTATAAACCAACTTAGCTATCTTGGGGGCCTCACATTGTACGTATATATATACATATATATATATACATATATATACATTAAATATCATTAAAAATGATTGACTCATCACTAATTAAAGATAATTGACGCATATTATAGCATGATTATAAACCATCCAGTGAGGGGTTACTGATTTTGAATCACAAAATAATGCAATCTCATCTTGCTAACACGATATATATGCAGAAGCAAATTTGAGGCCAGTTGATCTGGGAAGAAAATGTGGCCATGGTGCTTATTTGGCGCATACTTTAGCTGCTTAGTTTTGCCCGTCCTGCTCAAGTAGGTTGATCTAAAACCAATCTGTTAGTCAAAGCTATGCTATATAAGACTTGTTTCGTCACATGTTTCGAACACATACCTTGTGACACAGTTTCAACTCAATCTGGCATATTAAGAACTGCCAATCACGTGTATAGGCTGTATAGGCAGTTATTGATTATTTGGTTGTCCATGGGTTGTGACACACAATTTTACAACTCGATCCATCTATCCCTTTATTTACAACACCATTACATGACTGGTTGGTGGTATACCTACCCCTCTGAAACATATGAAAGTCAGTTGGGATGACTATACCATATTATGGAAAATAAAATCAACGGCCATTTCAGGAACCTAAATTGGAGGTACCTACCATATATAAGGCCTATGTAAGGCCTATGTAAGGGAATATCCCCACAAAATATGGTCAAACATATGGTACTAACGTACCTCCATCAATTGGATCCTGGAGATCTCCCATTGATAAAACATGTTTGAAACCACCAACCAGATACCTTGGTATCGGAGGCTGGTTTCAATAGCGGAATCATCACGGGTAACGTTTCCCATGATTTTCCCCCGAATGTGAGACCCGTCTGGGAGGTCTGGCCCAGTTTCCCATTCGACTGCTTCGTAAACATAGATGTTAATCTAGTGAGTTATAAGTTACTGTATAAGTTATAACATGTCAAAACAGCTGCTAGAACTCCACTCTAAATATCTCTAAATCATCATCAACCAGGATTTATCAATGTGATATCCGATCTGATATCCCCATGTTTGGTGGTTAAAACCCATCTATTTCACTCATGGTCCAATGGTGACATCTGACGATTTCAGAAGTGAAATCTCCCATAGGCTCCAGCCGTGTCCCCGGAGGTCCCCATGTCCTGCCACCAGGAACCCACTCAGGATCTGCCTGAGATCGGAGACGAGGGACATGGTGCTCCACAGATCCTGAAAATCCTATGGAAAATCCTATGGAAAATCCTGAAAATTCCTACAGGATGGGGCTCCCAAGATAGTTAAGTTGCCTGAAAAAAGTGGTTTAACTATGGTTTAACTATGGTTTATGGTAGATATAACTATATTAATTTAATGGGCTTTACAAACCAACAAACATCACTGGGCCCCATCCCTAATTTGAATATTGCAAAATGGTCATGGGATATTGATACCAAAAACTCATGGGATATTCATCCCATCTGCTCCATGTATGGAATATTTATCTACATGTACCCCAAAAATGGCCCAGTTTTGTAGGTAAATATTCCAGCACCATGGAGCATATGGGATGGGATATTCATGATATATCCAACAAAAAAACCCTCCATCAAATGTGGGGATTCCCGTGCTTGCTTTTGGAGGGTCAAGGGATAATCCCGGGTTTGGCACCGTGGATTTTATGCCAAAAGAAATCGGGTTTTTAGCGATGAAAAACCAGCAAAAACCATTGAAACATCTAGAAACCAAGGATTTGACATGGACTATTCAACATATTTCAACATAATGTTAGGATTTGAGCAACACATTCAACGAAAAAACCGGGTTGTTAGGATGATATATCTCTATCAAAAGGTTTCAAACGTATCCTCATTGGCACAAACTATGCCAAACAGAGCAGCCCTTTGCTTCTTCATCTTTATTCCAACAGAAGTGGCAATTCAGCACCGTGGATAGATACGAAATGGTACGAGCATCTACGTCTTCCACGGTAGTCGCATTCGTTGAATATTTGAGTTTCAGCGCTATTCACACCCTGTGAATGCTTGCACACATATCGAATTATTTGCTTGTATAATCAATATTTCCCTCGGAATATGATGCCACCTACCACAACAGCGTATCACGAACCAATCGATAAAGCAGAACCACTCCCCCGAAAAGTTCGTGGACAGAGGCAAATGAGGCGCCAGACCCAACTTCCACCCCACATGAAGGTGACGGGGGAGATGATGGAAGATACCAGCGCCACCAACAAACATGCCTGGCCGCAACACCGCAACTGCGCGTGCTGAATCGTGCTGAAAGGTGACCTTTTCAAGGTGGTGCGAAAGACCCAAAAATCCCAAGATGTCGGACATTTCTTTCCCAAAAAGAAATGTGGTGGAGGAAAGTGTCCTAAGTCCCAGAATTCCACAATATGGCAGTGTGGCAAAACCTTGTACCCCTGTAGTTCACATCAAAATAGCTGGTAAATGGATGTTCATCCCCCTAAAAATGGTATTAATATGTATTAATAGGTATTGATCCATACCCATATGTCTAACATTGTCTAACCACCAGGCCTGCGCAGCCAATTTGGCCTGGCGCGCCAGCGGCGCGGTCGTCGAGGTCAATTGTTGTGGATGTGGAATGATGTGCAATGGGAATTCTCCAGGATCCAATTGATGGAGGTACGTTAGTACCATATTGTTTGACCATATTTTCTGGGGATATTCCCTGAAAAATAGGCCTAAAAAATAGGCCTTTTTTCTTTTGGAATCGGTACCTCCGTCATTTTTATCGGTTCCATTTCGTCATGGCCATTGATTTTATTTTCCATAATATATGGGATAGTCATCCCAGCTGACTTTCATATGTTTCAGAGGGGTAGGTATACCACCAACCAGTGTACGGGAAAATATTTCTCCAATCACAAACTCGGTGAATCCTGAGGTCAAAATCCCACCAGCTCGTTTTTGTTTTTGCGGAATTTTTGGGATGGCCATCCTATATATCCAGAAACCTGTTGCGACTCCGACGCGAAAATAAATCTATATTTAAGATATGAGTTTATGATGATTTTGATATATCAAATTGACATATGTGTGGATTTTTCATATGGTCTTGAAGTATTTGATATCAATTTTGATATGAAATCTATAAATCATAGAATTGGATGATGGGATAATTTACAGGAAAGCGGATAATTTACAGGAAAGCCCTATATTTGATGGAAAAAAAACCATGGTTTCCTGTAGATTTTCCCTTAAACCAACCCAATGAATAAAGTTTGTGGATGATTTTGATGAACAGACTTGCGATTTATGCTGAACAGGGACCCAGAGACCAATCCTGTGGTCCCATGGTTCTGATGTTTTCCAGCATGAGCACCACGTCCATAGGACGTGAAAGAAGCACATGAAGTTTTTCACATCTCAATGATCACTCCATCTATCTCCATCTTACAATCCTATAAAATTCTATTATTAGAAAACATGTTACCATACATAATTATATTATATATATAACATATAAGTCCTACAGTCCTAGAAAGGTCCATCATCCCCCGGACCTTCCAATCGGTGAAGGTCAAAATCCCACAACTTGCTCCCTCGACCTGCGACGAGATCTGCGCGAGATCTTGAGGGGGGGTTCGGTATCATGAACAGAATCACTATTACCCATACAATGTGAGGCCCCCCAGTTATAAGTTGGTTAACAAAAGCCCCAGTAACTATAGTTATTTGCGTACCATAAACCATAGTTATTGGAGTTATAAACCAACTGAACGCTATCTTGGGGGCCTCACATTGTAGGATCCGGCTGGTGCTGGTAGAAAAATGCTAACATCAATGGGGTTTTTGTTGATGGGATCCATGGCACACCATATATAGCATAATTACATGGATCCGTCATGGGTTATAGATTTGATCAATTTCATAAATTGGATATAGTAAATAGTCATTTTGAGCTATTTGAAATAATTTTTTGATGACTTGATGATGATGATTATCATTATTATTGATATTATTAGTGTGTTCTTGACGAGGATGACAAGAATGACGAGGATGAGGAGGATGAGGATGATGATCACGATCACGATCATGATCAAGATCACGGCATTTCCGCGGATGATGATCCTTATACCATCTGGTTATTTAACGTAGCCATGGAAAATCCCTTATAAATGGAGGTGTTAATATGAAAATCATCTATAAATGGACCATTTTCCATGGCTATGTTAAATAACCAGAGGGTAATTATATACAATACTCTTGATGCACTGGCCGTTGTGCTGTCAGGGGTGGAGGCAACAGTGTTTAAGATTCTTGTGCTATGGAGTCCATGTTCATGATTGCCACTCTGCATGGGCATCTTGGGCACCCCGTGCTACTCAACATGACCAATATCTGAGGGTTTGAGGATCTGAAACTTTGATGATCTTTGATGCATACTACCCATGTCAATCTGTAGTCTAGAAAGGTCAAGAGTATAATATACTTCGGTAAGATGGCTATAATGCTTTGGACAACCCCGCAGCCACGCGAAATATGCTCGTGAGAGCATCATGGACCCCGCGCAGAACACTTTTTTTTACACAAAACGGCGCCCCTTCAGGCAGTGTGATTGCTAAACATGTCTCAACAAATGATCAATGCGGAAAGAAAACAAGCAAAAGCATTTGTACCCTCTGGTAATTTAACATAGCTATTGAAAATTGCCATTTTTAATAGGAAAATCCACTATTAATGGCCATTTTCAATAGCAAACTGTTATATAAATTACCAGAGGGTACCAACAAGGGGTAGACGAATGTTGGTATTGCGCAATTGGATCCACCATCCCCAATAACTTACCATGTGTATTTAGCTGCCATAAATCATTTGTTTTTTATAGTCACCATGAATTATCATGAAATTCACCACTATTTTTAATATCAAACATTAATAGCAATTTAAATCAAATGAAGCATAACATAATTTGTTACCACTACTTTTAACCAGTATTAACCAGTATTAACCATTATTGACCAGTATTAACCATTAATAGCACACATCATCCGGTCATGTCCGCGTCACGTTGCCAAATTGGTGACCTCCCCGGTCACATCGCGCGACAAGATCTTCAGGGGAAGCAACAGCTCGCCCTGGCCGCTGGCCGTAGCTGGGACGATGAATGGATTAAGCAGTGGGTTTTAGATCATGGAAAATGGCCCTAATCGAAATAGATGGTTTACCGAACTTAAAAATGGGTGGATTTTCCATGGCTATGTTAAATAACCAGATGGTAGATGGATTTAGGAATGCCCGATTTTCAGATCAATCCATATATACGCATAGAAAAATGCTGACATGTCCAACCATTTATGGGGTGAATGCAAGATTGTCATTGTGCCATGATTTGCATCTGCATGATGCGATGCCTCAGTATCATTGTGTACAGTACCTGTACAGATCTCGATAACTCACAAAAACAAACATGCTCTGAAACAACATGCTGCACTCTTCAAATTGTAGGTAGGAAATGGTAAAAATATGTTGTCATGCGACAGATATTAGGCTTCCGCCCCAAAACGGTGTCACGTACTCAAATTAGTAAATACTGTAGTCTGCCAGCAATTTGCACATCCACATGTTGGACACGAAGAAACCATGTGCCAGCAAGACTCTCATACGAGAACCTCAATCATAATAGTCATCATCATCATCATCATCATCATCATCAGAACTACAGTCTCATCAACGACTGCATGTAGCCTAAACATGCTTACATCTTCCAGTAATCATCCTCTTGCTTGAGGGGTGGACAACACATGTTTGACAGTTTATTGCTTTGTATCAGCGCCTGAGGCAACTTAAGGTCATCGGGTGTCGCACGAACTGGCTGATAAAAACCCTCTCAGCTGGAGCGATATTGAGTTACCATTAATGATTGGGTTGCCATTATTGACTTTTAGACATATCTGGGTAAATTAGAAATATTTCACTAACCTGAATCTTGCGGCCATAAAAGGGGATGATTTCCCATATTAACCAAACCATATGTCATTGCTCAAAGCCCAAAAAATCCCCAAAAAATGACATGCTGCTGTAGCTTCCTAGGCTTCCAAGCAGCTTCGCCTCATCATGATGATGGACATTGTCGTAGATCTTACTCTCAAGATCACCGACCGTGTAACGAGGCACGGCGCCTGGTCAGATTCTGCAGAGAAACAGATTGGAATCTCGTGGGAGTAGGATTAGGACATATTCATTCGGGGGATTCATTCATCACGAGAGAAACATATATATATAAATATAATATATATATAAATATATATATATATATATAATATATAAATAATATATAAATAATATATATATATATTTATATTATGTTGGAAGGTCTACCATCAAGACCATCAACCATTCTCTTTCTTGTATGACGCCTCTGGTAGTCAAACATGGCTAGAATATCCACGCGTATGTGTACACTTTATATATTAATTATATATGTATATATAGATAGATTTATCGATGAATTATCCACTTGAATACTGTTTTTATATCTACGGGATTTTGCATTTCCCATTGCCATGATTGCCGGAGGCGATATACCCCGCAATTCAAGAGCGCCATTGCAAATGACCCGTTTTCAAATGATGTTCTTGTTCATCATGGCCGTTTTCCATGGTTATGGTAGATAAGTAGTGATAAGTAGTGATAAGTAGTGATAAGTAGTGATAAGTAGAGATAAGTAGTGATAAGTAGAGGGCAGATGTCAACGGGAGCCGACCTTGTCTGGAAACTCTCCACTGCAATAAGTTCCGGAAGTCAAAGAGGGACCTGTGGTCCGAAGGCATGGTCTGCCAGTGGCTGCTGGACAAGCGGCGTCAGCGAGCACATCTTCGAGCTATGATGTATGATATGTTAGGAGTGTAACATGTACATGCATTAAAACACATTCAAGCGATACAAATACATCCACACAAATTCCACACACAGATAAATAATGATAAATATATGAATTTTGATAGATGTAATGATGCCAACAAACTACTTCAAATGTGTTCGCACGGTGTGCCCAAAATGATTTTGCCCAATTTTGGGCTTCCAATTTCGACCTAGCCGGGACTTGCACAACTGACCTAGGTTTGAAATGTCGGTACGTCTCCAAATTGGGTATTCCTACATTTCACATTTTAATACTCATGCTTTCTCATGAACATGAATGAGTAAATCCATGGTCAATTCTGGGTTTGAGATGTTTACACCATTTACACTTCCATCTCCCTCTGACAAAATTGAATGGACCTTCAATGAAACGGTGTATCTGAAAATTGAGTATAACTGTATCACCTCAAAATATCAAAAAAACAATTTCAATGGGGGAACATGTGGATAAAGCCCATTTCACATTTCAATGAGTTTATCAAGGTAACTATAAAATACTATAAACATTTCCTGATAAACATCAACGTCTTGAGAAATTAGTCGAGCTGGGAGCCTAGGTGTGGATATGTTGCACCCGTCCACATTGTCTTGAAACTGGGTATACCCCCAGTTTCATATTGCCATGACTTTATTGAAGACATGATGATGAGGCATTGAATTTAGTGCTACCCATGGGTACCCGAGGTTCCTAGGGTGCCGAAGATGACAGTCCCACTGAGGCAGGTACAATACGCCAGTGCCAGCCTGACGTATGTGGATGACGAGCCAAACATAATAGGTGTGCGGTATGCGTATATATATATATACCGTATATAGATATATATATACACCGTATATATATATATATATTATATATATATATGTCTATATATATATATATATATGAGGATGATGATGATGATGATGATGACTCTTACGATAAATCTATACAATCCAACCAATTATTGGTGCATATCGACCTGTTTGAATCCATTTGTATTGTGGGAATTGTGGACTAATCATAAAATGTATAACACTGTATAACCAAAAACAATGGAGGGATGGAATAGCCAAATCTGGATTCAAAGTCAAATCTAGCTCACAAATGATTATACACCAATAGACAGAACACCAAACCGGGGAACATCATAACATGGGTCACGCTGAAGTATACTGCAGGGTTACTGGCATCACCCTTTTTTTAATAGGTTTTGATAGTTGTTTGTGCTATCGATAATTACCAACCGGTGGTATTCAGATCACCAAAACATGAAAACGTAGAAACCCAGAAACCTTTATAATACATCATGACAGAATGGTATAAATCCAACGCTTGTGAATTGCATTTAAAATCCTGTGACTCACAATGTTTCATTCTTCTAACTTAGCCATGGTCTTGTGTGAGCTAAAGAATTGGGCACCCCTGGAAGTGGATGGAATGTGGTCTGTGTCCTTGCTTCCCGTTTTTCCTGTCTATCTTCATTTCTGGTGTGTATATATATACATACATACATATAATCTTAACTTTATGTTTTTGATCCTCACAGAGTTTTCTTTTGACGCGTATTTGTTGGCGATCTCAGTCCCACCACTATTGGCCTCTGTTCAAGATCCTTCTACTTCCTTATATTTGGCAGAATAAATCAATGGGTGTATATATATATATGATTTAATAATCAAATAAAAGCTACTAAATGGAACCGCAACTACTTGTGACTGGGATTAAGAATAGGCCGCTGTGATCTTGAGCACCCCGCTGGCATGATCCTTGAAGTCAGTAAGTTGCTATTGAAACACCTGCTAACATGTTTGCGTTCAAGTCACATATCAATTACCCTCTGCTAATCCATGGAAAATAATGTCCCAGAAAAACTGATCTTACCAAAAGGAAATCCAGCCGTGTTTCCAGCCATGGAAATCACATCCACCTGTTGAAGTCCGTGCCGCGACTGGAAGAGGTTGCGCTTCGCCGCCAGCGACTTTCGTTCGCTGCCCCGTTGGGAACGTTCCCGCGGCCCGGAACTCACAGCCGTACCGGACTCCTGGCGAGATACCGCAGAAGAAAGGGGGTCCACGCGATTTATCGTAATAATATACATATACTATATACATATACTATATACATATACACTATATATATACACTATATATATATATTGTATATATACTGTATATATACTGTATATATACTGTATATATACTATATATATAAACTATAAATATACTATATACAAGATATATATATATATATATACACGCTATATATGCTATATATAATATTGTATATATTACCAATACACATAAATATGTATGTATATATATATATATACATACATATTTTTATGAGTAGCGGAAAAATATATGTTAAATTTAATGCCATGCACAAATTAGGGTCGTCCCCTATCGGTTGTGAGTATTTCAGTATTCCCGGAGGTATCACAAATGGGGTATCGGTATAGGGTAGTCCCCTATCGGTTAATTTCAGGTTTTGTGCAACCTCGGAAAGGCCAAGGCGAAGCAAAAACTAAATTACAATATTGTACATAATTTTGTATATATATATATATAGAACAGTACTAAAACTAAATTACAACAATTTTGTCGGTTACTCATATATGGTACATTTTTATACAGATACAGAAATATGTTGCCAATCTTCACAGGTATCAGGATTTAAGGATATCTAAAGGTATTCAAGTAAATACTGTATATATATATATATGTCACAATATAAATATATATATATATGGTACCCCCCCCCAAGACCGACCTTTTTGCTGCCTTGACTTCTTTGACACCTATCCAACTTGCAATGGCGTTGCAATGCCATTGCAAGTTGGATGGATTCAAGATTCAAGATTCCTACGGACTCTTTCCAGCAAATCTTGAATCCAGGATTCAAGATTCAAGATTCCCAGAGACTCTTTTGAGCAAATCTTGAATCCAAATCTTGAATCCAACCCCTGGATTCAAGATTCAAGATTCAAGATTCCTGGGGACTCTTTCCAGCAAATCTTGAATCCAGGATTCAAGATTCAAGATTCCCAGGGACTCTTTGCAGGAAATCTTGAATCCAGGATTCAAGATGGATTCAAGATTTGCTCCAAAGAGTTCCTGGGAATCTTGAATCTTGAATCCTGGGGTTGGATTCAAGATTTGCTCCAGAGAGTTCCTGGGAATCTTGAATCTTGAATCCTGGGGTTGGATTCAAGATTTGCTCCAGAGAGTTCCTGGGAATCTTGAATCTTGAATCCAGTGGTTGGATTCAAGATTTGCTCCAGAGAGTTCCTGGGAATCCTGAATCTTGAAATTTAGGCCTGAAAAATAGACCAAAAATATATGGAATCGGTACCTCCAATCAATCGGTTCCTGAAATGGCCATTGAAAAATTGGTTTAACATTCAGTATCATGGGTTTTATGCTCGATCAATGTTGGGTGAAATCTCTTTTTCGTTCCTGAGTCATGGCCATTGATCTATGTTTGATTGAAATTGTCCATTATAGATCATCCAAATGGGGGGTACCCCCATGACTTAGGAACCACTTAGGAACCCCCGAAGTGCTCAATTGCAACCTATGGTCTTCCTTTGATGATTTACCTATAACCCATCAACTATAATATCTATATAACTATATATAAAACCACTATTACTCACCATTGTAATATTAGACTATAATATCAAAGTAATATTGACAGTATACACCAATATACCACTATATCATATCAATGAAACTGTATAACTATAGTAATATGGTATATAACCATACTATTAAAATATACATGGTTTTACTATAGTTATATATATATATACCCTTATTACTATAGCGGTATCACGCATATAATATAGTTAGTTAGATATACTAATGGTGAGATATACTCATGGCATAGTTAGTGGTTATATCATTGTACCACTAGTATATAATCACAAACTATACATTGGGTATATAACTATTGGATATATTGACAATAACAACAATAACTATAATAACAATATATATATATATACATATACAACTTTTAGATTCACTATTATACTCACTATTTGTATATACCACTAGCTATATATAAAATATTGACTATACTAAAGATATATACCACTAACTATATAACCACTAACTATATACCACTAACTATATAACCACTAACTATATACCACTAATGATTAACTATTAGATAGATCTATTGACTATTAAAAAATATATATACCACTAATAAATTAGTCACTAATAAGTATACTAATACCGGGATCGCTCCAATGGGCGGGAGGAAAACATATATATATATATATCATATATATATAATATACCACTATGCCACTATACCACTATTAGATCTATTGACTATTCCACTATAATCTATAATGACTATATACCACAATTATCTCTAATGACTATAATGACTATTACCTAAATGAAATTCCTACTAATATAGTTAGTGGTTATATTATACCACTAGTATATAATCACGATAATCACTATTATCTATTATCTATGATAATTAACTAATATATATATATATCACTACATATCTGTAATATAAACTAGATTCATACAGATAATAACTATACACATACCGATACCACCAACTATATCACATATATGTGATTATATATATATATTTATATATACTACATATATCTATAATCTCTTTAATAACTATTAAAAAACACTATTGATAGATATATACCACTAATAACTCTACTAATACCGAGATCGTTCCAATGGGCAGGAGGAAAAATATATATGTTACAACTATATAATTATGTGGTTATAACTATAGTTAGTGGTGATAATAATTGACTTTAATAACTATCATACTAGTTAGTGGTGTTATACTTTAGTATGCCACTATTATACTCACTATTCATATATACCACTAACTATATAACCACTAACCATACACCACTAAGCATAAGCCACTATTATGTATAATGACTATACTAACTATAATAACTTTATATATATATATATTATATATATCACATATATATATAGTATAACTACAAAAACAACTATTGAACTATTGATAGATATGTACCACTATTGTCCATAATGACTAAAAGAACTATATATATCACATCTACATTAAATACCACTATTATACCACTATTATACACCACTAATGATTAGCTATTAGTTAGATCTATTGACTATTATCAAAAGATATATACCACATCAATATAGTAGTTATAACTATAATAACTATAATAACTATAATAACCATAATAACTATAATAACTATAATAACTATAATAACTATACCAACTATAATATATATATATATGGTACTTGGTCAAGTTAGTTCATATCCTTCTTGGGTGATATGCAACGTGGTAGATTCAGTGAGAGATACTTTAGAGGACAATATGTCATGAGCAAGCGAAATGAGTGAAAATGGTCGGTCTTGGGGGGGGGTTGCATATATATATATATATATGTAGTATTACTATTTCACATGCGTAAATACCCAACTTCCTGATAGTGATAAAAGATGATAAAAGCATTGTTAACAAATGACAATGAACGAGTCTTTCATGGTGAAACGCCAGCTGTTGACTTGACTAGTAGAGTTTTCAAAAATTGCCATGGTGGCTTCTGAACTAGGTCCCAACAAGCATCAAATATTTGAAATTTGTATCAACCGCCAAGCTGATCCATTTGGGTTTGTAAATGGCCTATTCCCCACAAAAACTTCTCATTAAGCAATAATTAAGCGGGAGAGCTAGATTTGTCAACCCCCAAAAAATGACCATGTCATCAAAGCATGGCCAGTTCTTTTCCACCAGGAAGAATTCTTGGGCTTCTCTGTGGCGCGCCTGAAGGCTGCCGCCCAGTTCCGTTGAACTTGCTAAAGGCAAGTCGATTAGTTCGATATCTACTCTAAACTGCCAGTTCAATGTTAATTGAAGCAACTTAGTACTTAGATGTACTTAGATGTACTAAGTACACATCAATCATCAGTGATAACTTAGTACCCATCAGATATAAGTCATAACTCCCACTGCATCCCTATCTTTGTTGTCCTCCAGGACAACATCCTCATCCACAGCTTCAAGTTCCTCTCCTGGTCCGGGAGGCCCAAATTTCTCTGGGATTTGTAGGGGGATTGATATGGGATTTATGTGGGATTTCTATATGGGATTATGTATGGGAAACCCAATTTAAGATGATTTAGCGGCAATTTATATGGGATTATTATCGAGGGTTCGGGCAGGGTGATTGAGATCCAAAGCAAATTAAGGACCGGCTTTCTTTTTATCGCAAAACCAAACCGAAAACCTGCCCTGGCAATGCCCCTTTTTCAGCTCCCCGAAAAAGAAACTCTGGGAGTAGACCAAGCAACAAAGCTGTATATACCCAACCGCTGAAATGAATTGAAATATATATATATATACATAATATCTATATATAATATATGTACATTTTATATACATACATATAAATATAAATAACTCGGGCCGTGGGGTAAATCATCCCTCATGACAAGATATCAGATTCTCATAGATTCTCAATGACTCACCAAGAAAACAACGGCTACCAGTGGCTACCAGTCTACCGTCAACTAGCACCAGTTTTCATGAGGTGTCCACTCCTACATCCAACAAAGCCATTCCCCGCCAAAAGCCATGGTGGAGCGCCCCCAACGGCTGGTTCGATGGGATGTCGTGCCAGTCGTGTGGCAATGCGAGTGCTGTGTTGAATGCTGTCTCTATGTTGACTTCAAATGGGCTTTGAGAATTATATAAATTGGATTAAATTGGCAGGTCAAATTTGATCGCTATCTTTGGCAACTTTTCATGCTGTATGCTCATTGTCCTTCTCGCCAAGCCAATTACTTTGAGCCTTCCACCATGGTATTCTGCCAACGCATGGCTCAGAACATATTTTCGTTACTCCCTGTCAGAAAGAGACAATTGTTGGAAAATTGACATGGAACGAAGCAAGAAATGTGGGAAGAGAACTTTGTTTCCTACAGCATTGACAACATGGCCCTGTGGTTCCATGTCACTTTCCTATGAAGTCCCTCTGAATTCCAGCACTGACAGCCCCTACCCCCACATCCCCCCACTAGCTGCAACAGACTTGAGTCGTATCTGAGGCTTGTTGAAGCCTGAAGATGCATTTAGTGGTACTGTAGGCACCTTCAATTTAGGTACAGTACCTCACATTGTCGTCAAGCTAGCATTCGGATTCCCTATGATCCTTAAAAAATAATCGACATATTATGTATACATCAGTCAATATGTTTGTCAATCCCAAATTTGATAACCCCAAATGTATTCCTTTTCGGGTTTCACCAACATCATAGCATTGACATAGCACCATCCTCGGCTACATTGAGGCTTCCACTTCGGGCCGCTCACTGGAAGCAGCGACTTCGGCTAGAACCGATTCCAGAGCTGCGAAATCCAGCTCCTTCTTCTTGCTGAACCTTGGGTCACAGAACTTACCTTGTTTTGGTGGTTTCAACATGCTTCAACCCACGGACTCATCCCAAAGCACAACACATCCCAGGGGGTATAACATAGACATATACAGACTTAAAACCACCAAGCATGTTTGTTCAGTCTATATCTGTGTTAAAATCCCAGGACATCAGGCAGAACCCTTGTTGGTCTGCATAAGTTCCCTTCAAAAAAACATCAGCTCAGTGATAGAAGTCGGATCTTTTAATATCTTTTAGCCATGCCCTGACTTTTGCAAATCCAAAGACTGATTCTTAATTAATGTGATACCATTAAAACCATTAAATACCATTAAATACCATTAATGTGATTGGTTGTTTGTATGTCACCATTAAAACCTTCAGCAAAACCGCCACACTAATTGAGCCGCTGCCAATCGCATCCAGGCAGGAATTCAGACCCAGGGGCCCAGGGGACTACCGTTTTGGTCATTCTTATAAGTAAATATAAATTGCCTATCCATCTTCCGGGGATATGTATATATATATATATAATATACCCTCTGGTAAATTAACATAGACCCTGCCAGTCATCGGGGTTGGAAGACTAGTTTCCATTAAAAATAGGTGATTGTCAGGGTCTATGTTAATTTACCAGAGGGTATCTATGTAAATATATATGTACATGAGGTCACCTGTGAGGTCACCTGTGACATCCTATGACATCATTCCTGTCCCAGGTCGTGATGGGTTTATGGCATCAGCAATGGCATGACTCTTAAAATTGGTCAATCGGTCCCCTCAAAAATCAAAAATTCCCATCAAGAGTCCCCCAGAATCCTTCCTGAGAATCCAAGTCCCTAGGTTCAGTATCTGTTTCTAATATGGCAGTGTGTCAAAACCAATAGTACCCCTGGTGAACATCAAAATAGCTGGGATTTATGGATGTTCATCCCACTAAAAATGGTATGTATAGGTATTGATCCATAGCCAATTATGACTATCTGGTCATCTGGTCTCAAAAGTTTTACACACCAGTTACCATCATCTCAAACATCGTTTGGTGTCAACTTGGTGTCCCGCGGGCCGGCTATGACAGCTGCGTGTAACGCGCAGTTCTCACCCAGAGGCTGTGCCTGTTGGGGTAGGCCTTCCAGCGTCAAGCAGAAAGCAGAACAAACAATTGTAGAACTAGACGCTCATCTGGGTAAATTGTAATATTTCACCAACCTGAATTAAGGCCATTTGGGGATGATTTCCCTTATTAACCATGATTCCAGTGAGGTCGCAGTGAGGTCGTTATAATTTACCCAGAAACAATTGTAGAACTAGACACTCATGGACTTCTAGCAACATGACCTTGACGACTGATGTAAACAACAAACAGTCAATGAACTGGGAGTACGTGCTTCTGAAGTCACGTTTTTCTGATTTTCCAATTTTTCCAACCAATGATTTGTGTGTTATCTATATCAGTATGACTATTGTGACTATTGTTTCTGGTCTAGGTCTAGGTCAAAAATAATGACGAAATGGGCACATAAACTTTGCAACCTCCAGGGGACAGTCAGTTAATTTTTATGCCGACGATAGGTATGGTAGCTAGTGACATGTCCGATTTTCGATAGGCCAATTGGGCACTGCAATTTTCCATTGACAAAGTAAACAAACACTTCTGTACAATGAAAACTGGGCCCTGAGAGGTATTTACTTTGGGAAATGAGAAGAAAAATATATCCGACTTGTGGATCATGTAAATACTCATCACCTATTGACGGCGAAATTGTTTGTTGGTGAAAAATCATGCGTTTTTGTCTCCAGGTGTGTGTGCCCAGTCGAACTCACTTATCATCCATCAATGGTTGAGCATCATGGTACCCTCTGGTATTCCAACACGGCAATGGACAAAGGGACAGTACCCTCATATTCCGATTGTTGTTGTTTTCGATTAAAAAAATCGTTTCAAGATGAGGTTTTCCCTTGATTGCCGAAAGGTATCCCCACTTGGGTTTGTCCAATAACCGTGAAAATTTTGATGAATATAAGTTTATATATATAGTTATTAAATATATTTATTCGGAAGGTATGCGCCATTTTTTGACAAATCCATTTTTTCCCATACTTTGTGCTTATGTGGTTAATCCCACTTAGTAAGTGGGTTATAAGTTATAAACCCACTTATAAGTGGGATAAGTAGGATCAATCCACTTATAAACCCGCTTACAAAGTGGGATGAACCACCAAGTATGGTCCAGCTCAACACCAGCAGTTTTCATCACCTGGCAGGAACTCGTGCGCGTGGAAGGTGTTGCCCGTCATGCCACTGCGTCCAACCACCCCCACCTGGGCTGTGGTGCATTGGGGGTTGATGGATACCCTCCGGCAGTCTAAGGTGGCCATAGACAATCCTCATATAGATATGTATAAGATAGGACGGGGGTGCTGCCCGGCGAAGTGGATTTTAACTGCACCCGGCCAGTGTTTTTTGCATTTTGTTGGCGTGTCGGTGAAATGGCAACTTGGCTGATGAGACGTGTCTCCAAAACACAAAGCCCTAAATCCCTAAATCCTAAACCCTAAAACCGCGGTAAAAAAAATATCCCGGCAAGAGACCACAAACAGTGTGGGGAGAGTAAGAGGATAATGGGATAATGTAAAAATAATATTGATGAGGATGCTAATGTTGATGAAAATGTTGTTGATGATGATGATGATGACGATGATGACGATGATGATGATGATGATGGTGGTGGTGATAATGATGATGATGATGGTGATGATGATGATGATGATGATGATGAAAATGATGGTGATGATGATGATGATGATGATGAAAGAAATGATGATGATGATGATAATGATGATGATGATGATGAAAGAAATGGTGATGATGATGATGATGATAATGATGGTGACGATGTTGACGATGATGACGATGATGATGATGGTGGTGATGATTTTGATCATGTTGTTGATGATGATGGTGATAGTGGTGAAGATGATGGTGATGGTGATGGTAGTGATGCTACTGATGATGATGATGATGACAATGATGATGACAATGATGAAAAGATGGTGATGATGATGATGGTGATGGCGATGATGATGGTGATCACCATGATCATGATGATGATGATGATAGAGATGATGATGATGATGATAATGATGGTGACGATGTTGACGATGATGACGATGATGATGATGATGATGATGATGGTGATGATTTTGATCATGTTGTTGATGATGATGGTGGTGGTGGTGGTGGAGATGATGGTGATGGCGATGGTAGTGATGCTACTGCTGCTGATGATGATGACGATGATGATGAAAATGATGATGATGATGATGATGATGATGATGATGATGATGACAATGATGATGACGATGATGAACATATGGTGATGATGATGATGATGATGATGGATGATGGATGATGGATGATGGATGATGATGATGATGATGATGATGATGATGATGATGATGATGATGATGATGATGATGATGATGGTGATGGTGATGGTGATGGTGATGATGATGGTGATCACCATCATCATGATGATGATGATGATGAGGAGGAGGAGGATGTTGAGGAGGAAGATCGATCCCAAGACCGGGAAGCACACTTTGTGCGAGCCTGTGCAGTCGAAACGAATGTCAAGATTTAACAAGCGCCACCTTGCACGGAAATTTACAGGGAAAATGCCCCAGACCAGAGTGAGCACCCTGATCAAGCACCGGCCTTTACTCCTCCGTAAGAACGGGTAAGTGTGGACACACTGTTTGGGGAAAAACCTAAACAAACCCAAAAAAACCCTAGATAAACCCTATCCATTTGTGGTTCTTGTTTTTTTTTACAAAAAAAGTGGAAACTCCCATCCAGGAACCAACCCCTCTATGTCTCTTGTTGAGTGAAGCCACGCCCTTTATAATCTTGTTAAATGTTTGAATATGAAAACCCACTTTTCCTCAGTAGTACTATATTTGCTTGAAACATGCATCCTGGATGTTTGAAAGAAAATACTGCAACCCGCAGGTACAGGTACTGCTGCAGTATGCTTTCTAAACTGAGTATGCCCTCATTTTTTGAAAGTAATAGAAATTGCTCAGCATGAAAAATATGATTAGCGTTTGTCTGTTTATACAAAAAACAACTACTATGCTATGCGTAAAGTAGGAGTGCCCCTTCTGAAGAAAAGTTGTTTTCTTTGCAGGAATGCTTCCGATTGAAAAGGCATGCACTTCTTTTCAAGGAATGCTGCACTCTTTGACTGAAGGTGTTTGTTGAAAAAGACGTCTCTTGTCGAAGGGATGTACATCTTCAAGAGAAACATGCATTGTCTTAAAGTAGACTATATGTTTTCAAGGAATCTACAGGTATATCATTTCCTTTGAAGGAATACTGCATCTGTTTGAAGAATGCCCTGCATATTGAAAAGACATTCTACAACACATGGCTTCCTTCAAGGACATGTTCTGCTTTCTGACTTGAGTATGTGTTCGTCCTTTTTGAGAGTACTGTACGAATGTATGTATTTACTATTCACATACAGTGTACGAGAACCAAACCATCAAAAACGGTAGACTTTTGGGGGATGGGGTTGTCTGAAAATAGGCTACTCCAGACAAGCTCCTGCTAATCAGAAAAATATATATTTTTTTAAAATGGCCACTTTGCGGGTATACTCCAGTCACACACACACACACACATGTGTGTATGTATATATATATATAGAGAGATCCATCTATTGATGATTTTCCAGTGAAAAAAAAAAAACGTGATTGCCTGATATTCAGAGTCGGTATTGTCCATGGGAAAGAACATACACAGGACTTTGGATATCCTCCAAACACATCTTGGAAGCATCACTCGAAAAGTTGGTTCTGGTCACACCAATCATGTAAGGAAAAAAACTGTTCAGTAAAAACGGATGAGAATCACTATTACCCTCTGGTAAACTAACATAACTATGGAAGACCACCATTTTTAATGGAAAAATCCACTATAAATAGCCATTTTCAATAGATATAATTGTGAACTACTCATCATTGGTGCTTATCATTCTACGTAGTTGATGTCCAATCCATGGCATCCATTCAAACAAACCAAAATTACTCTCCAAAGAAACACATCAATTCAATGGATTGGTTTAAGGGAAAAATTACAGGAAAACCCCATGATCTTCATGGGAAAATCTATGGTTTCCTGTAGAATTTTCCCTTAAACCAATCCAATGATTATGAATATTAACCAGTTATGATAGCCCATTTATAATGGTTATATATAAATCCCTATTAATTAAATCCCTATTATATATAAAACCCAACATGGTGGATTTCCAATCCAGAAAAAAACAGCACCACTGATGAGGAGATCCAGCCCCCTGGGCGTCCGCAACGATTTGTCCAGGGACCGCAGCGAGGTGTTGGCAGTTCGCAACATTCAGCTGGACCTCGGCTGGGAAACCCCGAAATATTGCCGATGACTCAAAATAACTGACCACAACAAATTGCAAATGCTAGATAATGTAATATATTTATATACTTATATGTATATACTTATATGTATATACTTATATGTATATACTTATATGTATATACATACTATATATATATATATGTATACATAATATATATATATACATACATATACTAATATATATATATATACGCATATTCCCTTAATTATTTTAAGAAACATATACTGAGATTAACTATATATATATATATATATATGTATACTACCCATTCTTAGCAAATATCCAACATATTGGGTTCTAGGCAACCCATGTAGGTTTAACGCGGCTAACCTAGTAAAATTGGATGGTTTACTCCTGGAAGTTCCTAATCCTTGTCATAGCAATGGCTATAGATATGGGTTTGTCTGAATTTGTTTGGGAAAAACAATTCCAGCGGATCATTGTCATTATCCCCATCAAACTGATCATTTTGAGGGTGTAGCCAATTTTCAAACATTTTAATATGTACCCGTAAAATCTAATCTGTGTAACCATACATGAATGCATGTTGTTTCCCATTAATCATTAATACATGCATTGTTTGAAGCATGGCACAAAAAAAAATCCCCTAGCCATGGATAAAAAAGCCGCTTTTCTACTTGGGAGGATCATCATGATCATCCCATTTAGTAACTGATTAACAACCCTAGCTATAACCAGGTTATGACCCCACTTAAACCATACCTAGAATTGTTCGTAATTAAGGTTATAGTTATAGCTGATTAATAACCAGGTCATTAACAACCCTAGAATTTCCTAATCAAGGTTTTTAATGAGCTACCATCCGTGATGCCTTCGCTCCCGCAGCCAGAGTAGAGCCTTCCAACCTGGCATGTGCAGCCAGGGGGTCAACCAAAAACTCACTATGGTCGAATGGTAGATGTCAAAAGCTGCAAGGTTCCATGTAGGAAACGATGGTGGTGACCCCCAAATCCAAGGTCTTCCAGGAATATTTCCCATCATGCATTCTGGGACATGTACAACTGTACGAGCACATCATCATTAGAATAGAATTGGGGGTTTCTTGGGATAAAACCATATTATGTTCTATGTTGTTTGCGAACCCTGTGTCCAGTAAGCATGGCAAAATTATGGACATGCTGATCAAGTCTAAGTTGATAACTGCTGCCCAATTTGAAACCAAAAAAACACATGGCCGTAATGACGCTAGAAAATTGATTGGTATGTGGGTTATAAATCCTTCAAAACACAACCAAGTGAGTTATTGTATCTTGGTTAAGTCATAATTTCGGATCACAACTTTTCCTCCCATATGCAAGTCTTCAAGCGACCCTCAGCCTATATGTTTGCAAACATCATATTTTCATCTTAGGGATTGAGAACGCCAAAATCAGTAGAAATCAGACCTCGATTCCTTAGGTGTTGTGAAACTGCCTTATTCGGGTATACCCCGTACTAATTTCACATAGCTATGAAAATGGCCATGATTAAACATTTAGTTTGATGATTTATTTTCCTTATTTAGCATGGTTAGTTTCAAAAAGGCTCTATGTTAGATTACCAGAGGGAAAGTCCCAATATATTCCATGATATTCCCAGTAAATATATCCCTATAAGTCCCTGGTGTTGCTGGTCAAACCCGCCATTTGGGGATTCCTCCAGACTTCACGAAAACATGCCGGCCAGCGCAACATGGACTGCTCATTGAGCCGACCGTCTAAGCCCTGGCAGGGATATCACCAACACAAACGCGGATATCTACAGTATGTACGGTTACACGCTCTTTAAGGGAACCATGTTTCAAGCAATTTCAGCCACAGCCGAATATGTCCAGGCATGCTTTAGCCACATGTTCGCTCACAGCAGTTCCAGTCACACATCTCACACAGGCGGATATGGCCACGCACGATTGGCTCACATCTGCGCTCACACACTTCAAGTCACATATCTGGCAATCTCTTCAACTGTGGCATTCCTTGTGCAGACCCGCACCACCAGTTCCATTTCCATGTGTTGCAGTTTCTTCCATTGTGACACACATCATGAGACCGACTTTAATTTGCAGATTGCAGACACCATCAGGCAACGTTACCGCATTGGACCCTTAACCTTTGCAAACAGGTACGGACATGTCAGTGGAACGTTGTCCAAGAAAAAGGAAGGAGACGAATAGGTCCTGTGAAGGAAGGCAGATGCTCAGAGACCGACAAGACATGTTCATACCGGACAAATCTCAACCTGAGGAAAGTGTTGACCAAGCAAGCTGCCAGGCACGAAGGGCAAACTTTTCCCCGATCCAGGCGACGCGCGCTCCATCAAAATCATGGCTATCTACCACTGGCCAGGCAGGGGATCTCTGCTGGGGAGAGTAGGCTCGCAATGCCTTCAGAGACATAGAACGGAGCATGTGTTGCCTGAGTCACGGCGCCGTGTCCATTGGAAGCGATCACTGTACACATGTGGGAAGGCATTCTTCCTCCAAGGCGTTTTGCGGGCCCATCTCCTCACAATGCACCGATTTTCGATGTGATTCGTGCTGAAGCCGTTTTCATTGACGACTTCACCTACGCTGTAATTGGCGACCTCGTGCCACAGCTCGGCATGCCCCCAACTGTTCTCGCGCTTCAACTCCTTGACTGCAAGTGCAGTCCCTTTCTAGCCATCTGTCACCAAGATCGTCTTTTTGGGGATGTCCAAAAGCCGCAAACATTGCAGGATCTCCTCCTTGCCGCGACCAAGATACGAAAGAGGAACCTTTGCGGGTCTCTTGGAATGGTGGCTACCAAGACCCATAGTTGATCCGGGTGAGGGAACCGGGCTTGGCCCGGTTCAGGTGTGACTCATCAATCTCGATGACGTACTTATACTTGCAGTAGAAGCGAGCAGCATTGGGAGTCTTTGCCTGTTTCATCGCGATGAACTGGCTGGCGCGCACAGTAACATGCCTGGTGCTGCCCAGCTATAACAGCACTCCGCACTTCGATCCACATTAACATCCGTCCCTTCAACACTGGCATTCCTTCAGGTCAACCGACACGCACAGCCATGCACACCCATGTGTATATATGTGCAACCATGCGTAGAGAGTCTAGAAAGCCCATATATGTATGGTCTTTAAAAGTCACGTTTCGGTGTTCCCCAAAACGGGCATGGAGCCCTACGAACATTTTTTTTAGTCAATATAATATATGTATGTATATATATACACATAGCATATATATATATACATATACATACATACATATGTATATATGTATATATATATAAATATAATATGTATATATATATGTAAATATACGTAGCCTATACACATACATGGCCTATACAATACATATAATATACATTCTATATAGAATTGATAATCCATAACCTGTATATCTATAGGTGGATTTGAGATGGCTTAACCGTCTTGAAATGGTATGGGTAAGGATACCTTTGGTATGAGGTGATTGGTACCCCACGACTTTGGGTGAAGGATCCACATTTGAATAGGAATATCATCACAAAAACGTCAACATAGATCAAAGTATGTTGAGGAAATTGTGGTTTAACAACAATAAAACGGTGTTTCAAACCGACAATGATGAGTATGTATACTATACATATATATATACATACATACATATATCTATGTATACAGAGGGATATGAATCAACTCAATGATTTCAATGTGATATTTGAAACTTTGGATGTGGACTTGAACATGAGGGCATTCCTAAAACAAATGGCCATCAAATAATGGAATGATGATGATTAGTCAATGTCTCCACAGGACCCCAAAATCGCACATTTACACCAAGTGATGGCCAAATGTCATCCCAAGACCGGGTATGGATTATTATTGGGTTTAGCTCAAGAACAGTAGATTTCCAAATAGAAATCGTAGAGTCATTCATACAGGATGGTGCCCCCCAGTTATGTTTGTTGGTTTATAAACCCCATTAACTATAGTTATATCTACCATAAACCATAGTGACATTGGAGTTATGTTCACCAACTTAGCTAACGAACTGGGGCACCACCTTGTATCCAATGAGTTTAATGACCCCCAAATTTTCCCAGTCCTCGCAAGCGATGCGCCCACAAAGGATCGTTTCAACTTGACTGGGGACCTCACTGGATCAGCGAAGCAATAAACCAAGGGTCAAACAAACATGGCCATGGTATGCGATGGTGACACCAAGGAGACTTAGACTCAGCTTTTATGATCTCAGATCTTCTTTCCAACCAGTCATGAGGGTTTTTTATAGTGGCCTCTAAGGTCACCTGGAATGATCGACATTTTCAGCAACCAATTTATTGGCTCGTTATCCTGCGTGTGTCCATAAGAATTCATAAAACATTTGATGTTGATCCTCAAAATATGCACCGTTTCATCAATGATCCATGCTTCTATGTTTGAGACATTGAAGGCCTCCAAAATATGTTCTTGGCTACCCAACACCCACGGCGCCGATCACAGCCTGGTAAGGACCATAGGGATTTAATTATGGATGTTTCATGGGAATATCATGAAATACCATTGGATTTAGCCAACCATATGTAATGATATGGAATGATATGGATGTGGAAAACTAACACAAACATAGCTGTGGAAAATTGCCCATTTAGTTACGATGGTTTACCCATTCAAGATTGGTGGTGTTCCATAACTATGTTAAATTACCACATGGTATTTGACAAATCATACAATGAGAGGCCCCCAAGATAGCTAAGTTGGTTTATAACTCCAATAACTATGGTTTATGATACTTATAGCTATATTTACTGGGGCTTTTGTTAACCAACTAACATCACTGGGGGGCCTCACATTGTATATCATTTAAACCCACCATTTGACAGTCGTGTTCTGGCACACCCTCCTTCTATCATCCCATTGTAGGTGGTTTTTTGAACGGGATGAATAACCAGTTTTTTGATGATATCCTTAGTCTACCAGGCAGAAAAACAAATTAAGTAGTACCCTCTGGTAAATTAACAGTTCGACCCTGGCAGTCATCGGGGTTGGAAGACTACTGAAACCATTAAAAATGGGAGATTTTTTAGGGTCCAACTGTCTATTTACCAAAGGGTATATAATCATTATAAGTCAACCGAGGGTTCTAAACACCGCTGATTTCTGTTGAGTTTATACTCCCCTCAGCTGTGGCCATGAGTTGCCTCCTGAACACGTTGCTGAAGCAACGAGGTAATGGGCGCCTCCCATTCCTGCACGATGCAATCCCATTATGATCATTATGTTGGTATTGGTTGTTTGAAATCATTTTTTCTGGAAACTTTGGAATCATCCACCAACCTGAAATAAGGTCATTTGGAAATGATTCCCTTTCCTTGCCATCATTTTATTGACATTGTGGTGAAATTGCTGGAATTCATACCGAAAAAAATACTTCTGGATGCCATGGCAGAAAGGAACCGCCAAACGAACTTGTTAAGTTGGTTTGGCGGATAATTATACAATTTGATGAGGGTCAAAATCCAACATATAGCCGGAAGGGGTGGAATACATTGTGACAACTGGAAATTTAGCAACAAGAATGCGAAAATAGAATGGGATATGACGAAATATCATGGGGGTATCACCAAGAATATGATGATGGTTTAGTTATATAGTCCCACATACACAAAAAAAAACACAAATCTATCGAATTTATGGCATAAATGAAGGCAACTATTGTCCAGAGAAGCACGGGATTTGATGGTCCCAGTGGACACCCTGTCTTCACTTTGAGAGGTGATACACAAAAAACGGTGGTCCAAACCATGATGGAACAATGGGTTCTGATACTTTGCTACGGGGCTCCAATTTGCCATCCCTTAGATGTCTCTGGTATGTACATACTGTGTGTCTATACATATACATCCGGTATCCTTACCAAAAATCCTGCTATAGTATGTAGATGTATTTATCATGTTTGATATTCACTGATTTCATTTTGAAGGTGCATTACGACAGAGGACCTCGCTGTTTGTCTTGCTAGGATCAGCATTTCTATTGTTTCAACTCTCTCTTGTTGTCGGTTGCCCCTGGGTAAACCAACATACTGATATGGAAAATCCACGACAATCCATAGTTTTGAAAGAACATGATCTATTCTAGACTATAGCCGTACTGCCATATTGATTCATATAATGCAGTCCGCAACAGGTATTCAATACTGATGATCCATGTATAAATATATATATTATATCCATATATCATATATCATGTTTACTATTATCTAGTACCTTCGTTGCTCATAGATGTTCATCGTTGCAGGTTTCTGATTGCTAAAATTCAGCCCGGCTGACTCTGCAGAGCTTCTCCTGCAGTCGCTCGTCGCGGCGAATGGCACGTTCTGAGAGCGCCTGGTCTGGACGTTTGACTCACAAGAGCTGAGCAGTGCGGAATGGGGACTCATGATTCATGAGATGAAAATTCATGAATGATGAATTGATGAAATAGTCACTAGTGAGAGTTTTATGGTAGTGAATGATACTGCAATAGTGACTACATAAAAATCTAAATGACAATGAGGATGAATGGTTCAACAATATTCAACAATGGGATCCCGATTACAGCATGATCAGTACTTCCCCTTTCTAAAAACGATTCCTCGTGGGGAACGGAAATGGAGATTCATGATTACTAAATGATTAAATGACCATAGTTACTATTATAACCATGATGACATGTTGTGATTTGTGAGTACTAGGGATCAAACAAAATAGTACCAATTAAATGGTGGTTTATGATACTTAGGTTATGATGAACTAAATGTTTCGTGTTTAGATGATGGTTCAAACCATGATAAACATGATTGTCGTGACATGATTATCAAGGGGACATCATTTTTCATCGTAAAAACAATGAATAGCCATGGTGATTCAAGAGTGGTTAATGATAGTCAGGCAACGATTGATGATTCATAGTTAGCGGTTGATGCTGAACACCATGATGACATCAGCCATATACAGTGATTGACCTGACAGGATGATTATGAACAGGTTTACTCCGAAAAAACTCAGATACAAGATGTTCATTAGATTTCCCCCCCTTGTGGTTATCATTCACCTACAATGGCTTGAAGCAACCCTGATGAATGATGATTCAATGGTCATCAGGATGACCGTGATTGCGGAAACGATGAAATGGGGAGTACGACAGCGGGAGTGAATGATACCCTCTGGTAAACGTTTACATAATTATCGAAAGATCCAGCATTTTTAATTGGAAAATCCACTATTTCAATGGGCATTTTCAATAGCTATGTAAACGTTTACCACAGGGTAATGATAATTACTACATGCTGAACCTGAGCATTACGTACTGTAAATTGTGGTAGTGACTAATGGAGATGATGATAATTGTCTATGATGCAAATGATGATTAATTAAATACTGATCAATGGGAATATATGATTATATATATATAATAAGTATAAAAGTTGTGACAGTGATTACTAAATATCAAATGTAAATAATAGATTACCAATCAGTGCGTAGATTGGACCATGAGCTGCCATCATAGCAGTTCATACACGAGCTTAATAATATCACAAAACCATATTCATGACGAATAAATCGTTCAGCTATGGATGATGAATGTAAATTAAACCAGGGAAAAGTACTGGTGAATTTATCTGGTTGGTGGTGTCAACCCGCCTGAAAAATAGAAAAATATTAGTCAATGGGAAGGATTATCCCATGTATTATGGAAAATAAAAACTGTTGAAACCACCAACCAGTTACTGTATCTAAATAGATATCCAAATATACCAAAGTGATCAAAGGTACAAATTGGCACTACACCGCCATAGCTGTTGCATACACATTTCTCTCATAGGTCTGCGCATGAAAAATCTGTGTGTGCACTGAGTCATGGTGATATACATATATGAATGATATTTCATACGTAATTGTATTGAATTGTAAATTATATATATATATATGTATGAAAACAAAACATATGACATCATATAACAACATTACACATCAAACTGACATCTGTCGTCTGTCCATATGTTTTCACGTGTACTTAAAACTGGTTGCGATGGATAGTAATAAAGGATAATATAGGGTGTAACTCAGCCACATAATATAAATTAATATACAGTATATATATATATATTATATATACATATGATGGACTCGACATTATCAATGTTGTAAGTTGTAGGTTATGAGTTATAAATCGATATCAAGCCAACAACTCCATTGAAACATGAGAAGCACATGAATACTCTAGCATCATCTGGGATTTACATCCAGAAAAGCCGACAGCCATGACATCTACGAGGTGTTCGCACCTCATCCATCCAAGTGTAGGCGCTTTGCCCATCCTGACCTGCCACGGCCCCGGGGCCATTGGAGTGACTATAACTCACCATGGGAGCAAGCCTGAAAAAATGGGCATGTAAAATATAAATTACATGCATTTACACTGCTTAAGAATCTTGGTAAAAATGGACAATTCCATGGGAGAAATATGGAGAAATAAGGAGTGAGATGCCCTGTTTTGAAACAAACACTTTTTTGGAACTTGTTGGGGTGAAATCAGTTTGCGATGCTTTTTGTTCATAGTACAGGTCAAAAATGGTCAAGTAACATCATGCAACTGTTTCCAGCATGGTTGTGGTGGGGCTGCTCCAAACTCCATTCCCATCTCTGCCCTTGCTCGCACGCGGCGGAAAGCGCCCACTCCGGCACTTCATAGCGTCGTGCTGCTTCCTTAACTGGAACGAAAAGGTGCTGGTCTTGCCTTTTCCAGCCGCAGCGAGCCGAGCTCAGCAACCGCTTTCGAGCAAGCATGGTTCTATGTGCTTCCAATATAAAACAAAGGACGTGCGTATGTTTCTGGACATTTCACCCAATATACACACCCCTTCATCCAAGACTGCCTGCAAGCACAAATCAACCGTTTGCTCGGATTGCCTTGGGATCTTGAGCTTACCTGGGCCCCTGCAAAAGTAAAAGTGTACGGAGGTTTTTGATTCTGTTTCATAGTCTTTCCAAAGTTGGTAAATCCGTAGAGGCTTCTTCTTTGCAGACAATTGCTGCTCTCAGGCGAGTTTTCCGCCACGAAAGAATCGCTGCGACGCCGGATGTCGGATGTCTTCCCCAGATGGCCAGCCCGGGGTGCCAATTTACACAGGTCAGAGGTTGGCAGCCATGGTCATTCTGCATGTCGTCCCAGAAATGGAGACAAGTCTTGCCAAGATATGCCAAGATAAGAAGCTTTGAAGCCACGTGGCACGATGTGAACCCCAAAGTCTCTCCTGCTAGCCCTGCAGCCTGCAGCATCTGCGGCTGTGGTCAGGTGGGAGCGGCCTGTCGCCTGTCTACTCCTTGAGGTTTTGCTTCAAGACCTGGCGAGTCAATATTCAAAAGGCCCAAATCCCAAAGGTCAAAGTTTTTTAGATGCCTTGGTTCTTCTACTATTTTATAGAACTTTGTTGAATTCATTTTAATTTATATAAATCCTCCCATGTTGAAGAGTACCACGATTCACACCCATTGCCACCTGAGTCAAGTCCTCTTTCACGCGCCGACTGATGAGAGGCCGCTCAGCAGGGTAGCCCCTCCTCAGCCTCTCCTCCCTTGAAAGGAAGGAGCGGCCACTCACATGTCGTACCAAGGGTCTGCCAGGAAGGGTAAAGTCCCGATACAAGAAGACACCATAGTTCTTCATGTGATAGTCCTTGGATGGCTGCGGCTGCAAAGATGTTCATGCTTGTTCTTGGCTTCTTGGGCAATGATAGCAAATTATTCACATGACGTCTTTCATTCCGAACAATCCATCAATGCACGGAACGGCTTGCAGAAAAGCAGCTTCAAGCTTTTGGTTGGAGGTTGTGCCAGTCATCTTGATAGAATGGTTAAATAGTCATTTCGGATCATCGCCAAGATATTTGAAACATTTTGAAACTACTGATGTCACCGGTCTTGATTCTTGAAATGTATTTCGATGCCATGACTCCCAAGTCCATTCATGCGTGCTCTCGCGAATCTCCGCCAGCATGCGACATCCATATGAACCTGATGCTGAACTGAAAGACATGCTGAGAAATTGGGGCCGATGTTGTTCTTTTTAAATATATTCTATTGTACATATCATTTTGTAAATCATCACTACCACCTAAATTATGATAACTATCATTGTCATTATTGCAGTACTTGTTCTCATCAAATTATGATTTTCTTTTCCACTATACAGTAATACAGCATTACATTCCTACAGTTTTACCATGTTTTGCTGGTGTGATGCACATACGTATACATAAATATACATATAAATCTCATATTCAATGGATTGGTTTAAGGGAAAATCTACAGGAAACCATAGATTATCCCATTAAATATGGGGTTTTCCTGTAAATTTTCCCTTAAACCAATCCAGTATAATCCAGTGACATATAAATAAAAGCGTTAGTTCTGATCCAAGGAACTTTCAATAAACTCTCCGGGCTTCACCTCTTTCCGGATCAGATCCTTGGAGTCAGCAGAGTTCAACGAGTTCAACCACCATCAGCAGCACACAATAAGTGACATAAAGAAACTATCACCTAAACCAGATTCTATAATGATAGTATCAGTACATACCATTACCATATAATGATTTAGGTGAAACTATCACTAGAATGATCAGCAGATAGTTTCTATAATTTCAAGAACACTCATATAATGATCAGCAGAAATGGCAGTACCATGGTTCTGTGAATCTTACCCCTGCGTTCACTCACTATGTCATTTGGATCAGGGGAAATAACAAAAAAAACTATTTAGACTTGAAATCACAAATGAATTCACTATCGCCGTTCATGTTGATCAAATCCCTTTATGTGGTGAATCCATGTTTTTGTCACTGTGTTAGAATCCCAATTTTACTGGTTCAACTTGAAATCGCAGCGACATCAGCGACCCAAACTTCAACTTAAGACTCAGCCAACTGGTCCCTTCGACCAACGTGTGTCGAGTCGTACCACATGAAGCATGGGATCAAGCTTGGATCCAGTCCATCGTCGCGCACCCATGCGCCATACTTGCTAGCTGCATAGGTAGTGTAGTCAGGTACAGTAGGGAAGCCCACGTAGCGAAGCTCAGGGTAGCGATCCAGCTGCCGCACCACTTCAGTCCTTAGCCGATAGAATGACTAAATTCCAAGGTCAAAATCTCATGCCATGGAGCTGTGTATCGGCTGTGTATACCATGCAATGTATTTATACATCGTGATTTATATTGAACCTTGTATAGCTGTATAGATTTCGATTCTCGTGTCTTGTCTAAGGCTTTTGGGCAAGAGATCAACACAGAAAACTACGCCACCTCCAGTATACCAGGCACGGTTTCAGCAAATGTTCATATGAAATATATGGTTCAAATATATTTAAACCAATCAGGCTTCATCGCTTGAGTTGTTTGAGAACGCCAGAAATTTAGCCCGGTGTCATGGAGAAGTTCTCCGAAAAGACCCTGTCATGTTGCACCACGAGCACATAGTCGGTTTCAACCTGTTCCAAGCCTTCAAGCAGGGCGTACGCAAAGTTGACCCTCTTTTCCAGTGGTCCCAGCACTTTGCACCCCCCAGATCCCGCTCGGACAGTCCTGAAGCGTAGGGATGTTCAAGGGCTGCCGAGAAAGGAACAACATCACCAACATCCGTATCCTTTGATATTAAAATATATGAAACAACTCACTTTCAACAACTATTCATTCTGGAGCTTCATGGGGCCTGAATTTTATTTTCCATCCTGGGATGGGATTGATCCAAATCTGACTCTGCTTGGCTTGGACAGTTGGAATCTGGCAGGTTTCATGGTGGACTATCCATGTTCTTTGGAGAAAAAACCCATGGCAAGTATCTTCAAACGATTGATTTCCGGCGATACTCAGGTATATAAATTTATGTCAACTGTTTAACTTATGTCAACTGAAGGGCATCAAAGATGGTATTTGGATGCATTAATTCTTATGGCCACAGCCACATCATTGATCTCCTTTGGCCCAACCCCGCGTACGAAAAAACATGTTCGAGCCACCACTTCGCCCGCAGTGCGTCCACATAGGCGCGGTACTTTTTCCCAGTCTCAGCGTTCACCTGAAAAGAGTCTGGTGAAGAATACCCTCTGGTAAACTAACATAGCTATTGAACATGGCTATTTATAATGGATTTTCCCATTAAAAATTGTGATTTTCCATAGTTATGTTAGTTTACCAGAGGGTATGAACCCCAGTACTCCAGTCACCATCATGGACCATCATGTTAAAATACAAAATACCCCAGAAACCCTGATTGGTATCTATTGTGCGTAAATGATCGGTATTCACTCGAAACCCATAATGTTAACCAGCTAATTGTTCATTTGGGGTGGGAGAATTTATGAAGCTCAACTTGACAATAGGTATGGGTCAAGAAACATCAATTCGAAACAAAATGGTTGGAAATGGTTGGAAATGGTCGTGAATATAACTAGTATAATGAATAAAACAACCAACAATGGTGGGTGTTCTAAAAAAAACTTGACCCATAAGCCAGGTCAGATGTTTTCGATGTTTTGAGCCAAGGCACCTTCCCTTGATTCCACACAGGCTTTCCATCACGGATGGTGATACCATCAGCCACAATAATCAGAGGGCAGTCTTGCAAGCTATGGATGAGGTCAAAGGACTGTATGACGCTGTCCTTGGACTTGATTTTCACTAATCCCTGCAATCCTAACTTCTTTCCACTGTAGCTCCTATGGTCCTATGGCTGATATTAATATACTGACTGTAAGGTTGCACGCAGAAAAATGATCCACAACTTGGAGTTAACACCCAAAAAACAGCAGGTACAACGAAGGACAGTGGGGATCAAGGGCTCTTCGAAGCGCAAGTTCTGACATGAAAATCCAAGGCGAGCTCTAAGTGGAAGCTCCCTCGAAGGCCGGCCAATACTGTGGCCAAAGCTTCCCTTAAGTTCAGCCCCCAAACTCCCAGCAAAGACTGGTGACGCCTTTAGAATCACTGGAACTGGGTATGGATCAATAGCTATTAATACCATTTTTAGGGGAATGAACATCCATTTACCAGCTATTTTGATGTTCACCAGGGGTACCAGGGTTTTGACACATAACCAAGTGTCAACGAGTTGTGTAGAGGGATGGGAAGGAATTGGAGACGTCACCAGGACGATACTCAACCGCTCTGGCAATGCGATACTCACCGTGGGGAACGGTGCCAGGAACAGTGCCACAACGGCCGCCACGGAGAAAATCGGGCGACGCCATGGCGGTCGAAAACTGGACATGGACCCAAGATGACCCAGGTTGAAATACTTCGACCGTAGACAATACATATCCAACATCAATTGAAGGGAAACATGAGGATCCACGTTGAGGTCAGATTTGAGGATTACAGATGGCGGGATGTACATTTTCGACTGATGGTTCCACTTTGGACGGCCCAAACTGTTGAGTTTATTTCTATATAGGTTCATTTATGTTTTGTTGGTGTGTATATAATATACATATATATATGTGTGTGTTCCTCACAAACGATCAATGTCATGAGCCATGTCCATCAAATCACGGAGCACGAGCTGAGCACAGTGATGCTTTTTTGTTCGGCCATGGTGCGTATACCCCCAGGAATCCATCCCGTGGGTAAACAAACTGGGGTCAACCACCAAGTACCATATGGATCCGGCACATGGATGCATTTGGGTATTAATTGTATGTGTTGTCTTTCAAGACATGCCATAGTTAGGTATCCATAGTTCAGTAAGTTGTTCTAGAAGTGGGATGAACCTCTGAGTAGGGCATCATGTTTCATTGTTGCTGGCCATCGGCACATGTGGGGTGATACCCTCTACGAAAAGATTCAGGACCAAGGGTGGATAGTTGGTTGTTGGGGTTGTTGGGTAGCCCAAAAATGCTGGACAAGTAAATCATCCTCAAAATCCGAATCCTCCAAACAATACCCTCTGGTAAACTAAAATAGCTATTGACAATGGCCATTTATAGTGAGTTTTCGCATTAAATATGGAGATTTTCCATAGTTGTGTTAGTTCACCAGAGGGTAGACAACATCCCAGAACACTGGTTCAGTATTGGAATTCTTCATGTGGGGACGGAGGTTCCACTGGTTGCTGAGGGGAATTGGTGCCATGTGCGGATGGGGTCCCATGTGGAGAGGCTAAAAAAAACTGCCAGGGATGGGGCATGACTTTTGCATCTATGTATTTGGGAATCCCTTCGAAACCACACTGATGGATTTGGCATAGTCAGTTGTGCACAGGCTCACCCAAGTGATTACCATTGCCAACGATGGCCAGGTCGCCCATTTCGTCGGAACGGTGCCTATGATCTCTAGCTATTTGGAAGGTTCCTCGAGGTCGGCCAGGTCGTTATAATTCATCAATATTCAAGCTGAAGCCTGGAATGATTGCCCTGTTCTACAAGAGGATTTTTCATTTTTCAGCGGAATTCCCGGTAAGTGATGGCAGATAGTGCCCTCTCGCAATTTAACATAACCATGGACAATCCGTTGGCCAAATGGCTAAATCATTGAACCAATTGCCTCATTTTCCATAGCATAACTGTTAAATTACTCGAGGGTAATATGCAATATCCCATTGTCATCCATGATCCCATGAAAATTCCAGGTGCTTTATCAAACAAAAAGTTTGTTCCTAGCCCCATGACCCCATTCCACAAGGTGGTGCCCCAGTTCGTTAGCTAAGTTGGTGAACATAACTCCCATTTCACTATGGTTTATGGTAGATATAACGAACTAGTTTTCATGGGGTTTATAAACTAACGTTCACATCACAGGGGGTCACCATCCTGCAGCAATGGTAAATTGCCATAAATTGCCATAAATCATAAGCTGTCTCCAGTTGAGGGGCTGCCTGTCCAGAAGCAGTCTCCCAGCAGCTTCACATTCGCCGTGCTCGACCTCGTTGGCTCGGAGATGCTTGGAGGCCATTAGTCGAGACCTCGGGACCTACGGGAGCATCTTAGTGGTGTTGCTTGAGTATAGCGTAACTGCTTGGTGGTTGAGCCCTACCCCCATCTATCAATGGATGATATGGATGGTTTATAGTGGAAAATACCATGAGAATATGGATGATGACTGGGAAATACTGGTTGGTGGTTGAGCCCTACCCCTCTGAAAATCATGGAGTGAAAGTCAGTTGGGATGATGACATTCCCAATATGATGGGAAAAATAAAAGCCATGTTCCAAACCACCAACCAGGTGTTTTTTGTATTGACATGTGAGCTGACTTGATTTAAGATGTACTCATCGTCGCATGTTTAGTGATAGAGAAAAAATGGCCTGATCCTCAAATGGTTCATTCGGCGTCAGTTGTGAAGGTAGCATAGCATGTGCCACAGCCTTTGATTGCATGGATTCAAGTATGATTTAAGTATATGGTTGTATGGAAGTTACTGCAAGTTTCCTGAGAAGCTCAATGCGTTGCAAAGCACCATTTTTGAGACCTCCTTCTGAGTTCGGACTCTGGTCAAACTAATATGATCAAACATACCAATGGTATCACAGTATCCCCACCGCAAGTAGACGATTCACCTCACTGTAAAGCAGGATCTTATCTTCCATCCAATCACGTCAAACTTCGGCAATTCACTTCCTATGACTGCCAATGCTGGGCCATGGCGCCCATATATGCCCACCATAAGCCGCCCGGCAAGGGAATCTTCTGCAAATTCCCAGTGTTGATGCTGCTCTTAACCGAGATCTGAGAAGAAAGAAGGCACAATCTGCAGAGTTTTGCATAGTTCTGCCCCTCGTGTTGGTGCTTAACCCATACCCAAAACAGTCACAATCCGGTATAGTCCTGGGATGACCCTCCCACCCAATGGCCAGGGATGGAAAGTGCAAAAGGGTGTCAGGAAGGGAGTCACACAGAATCTCTAGCAGGGAATGTCAGGAAATCCATGGGAATCTTCTCCCAAATTGAAATGTTCAGCAGGATGATTTCGATATTTTGGATGCAAAAATACTTTCTATGCTGGCAATCCAATGATAAAATCAGCCCCATAGCGGATAATCTCATATGGTGATGATCAGACGGTCCATTTTCCATAGCTATGTCGCCTTATGTCGCCATGTTAGATTACAAGAGGGTGTATCCCAATTGTACTCGAGAGGAGCTGGTTAACTTGATTAACTCTCCATGTATTTCCTGATGTTATCCCCAATACTGATCACAAACTGTTTACCAATCATCATTAACCATCATTAACCATCATTAACCATCATTAACCATCATTTATAGATGCCATTTATAAACCAACCATTTATAAGTAGTGCTTACCGAGCATCGGACTGATCCAAATCTTGAATTCACCTGGGACTTAAGGCCTAAAGATGATCAGCTTCATCCCAACTTGGGGGACACGGCCTGATGGCTCGGCTTGGACGGCGGAGTAGGCGTTCCTAGCAGTGATGATCCGGCTGATGGGACTGCTGAGAAACACGGTGTTTTGGATGCCATGAAGCATCAACTCTCCAAGTCTTTGGGTAAGGCGGAAGCCCATCTTATACGATTCCATGATTCACACAGCATGAGCCCAAGTCTGTCTGTCTACCTTCCAACTGCATCGTGTTGAAGCCTTTAAAAGTATATCGGGTTTGTCCAAAGTGGAAGTTAACCCCAAATCCATGACCATTGACGAGAAAATCCGCTGTGTAACCATGGCAGTTGAATCATTTCCATGCTTTTTCCAAACAAACCCAAGTCCGAAAATATCTTCATGACCTCAAGGATATTACTCTACTTTTCTGTAGATTTTCCAAGCAATCCATCGATTTTTCAGACGTTCCCCGCCTGCATCGAGATCTCCTGCGGCCTGGTTCCATAATAATGCACGGGTTAAACTGGCTGGGGTGATCGGGGTCTGTCTATGAACAAAATCACCCAACCCCTTTTAATATGTGAAATCAAATAAATTGATTCCAACCCTGTTTGAAAAAATACTATGAACTGAAAATACCTTAGTCACCAGCAAAGGGGTGCCAAACACACTCTTAAAAACTGAACATGTTCCCCGTGCAACGGACAGAACCGGGTCCGTCCAACTCACATTGGATTTTTTTGAGATGGAAGGTATAATACCGTGGTATACCTCAGACTCATGAATTGATCAAAGTGCAAGCTAGTGGACGTGGTTCTGCCATTGAAATCCCCAATGGTCTTCATGTTTTCCATCGCAATTCCTTTTTGTTACCCTCTGGTAAACGTTTACATAACTATGGAAAATCAGCATGTTCAATGGGTAAATCCACTATTTCTATGGGCTATGGCTTCAATAGCAAACTGTTAGTCATTACCAGAGGGTAAATCCCATTAAATTCATTTAAATTCCATTAAACCACCATAAACCCTCATTAAATCACCATTTTCATAATAATTTCACTGAACCAAGAAAGTCCATCCTTTCTTCGGGTGTCTCACACACAAACTGTAGCACTCCAATTTCTATCATCCAAACTCTCTCCCTTCATGTAATGGTGTGAAAAATCCTAGCGCTCCTAGGGCCCATGAAACCGTTGTAATTTTTCCCTGGTTTGATCATGGGTAAAAAATGCTAAATTCCAGAATCCTTCGTGACATCTTGACACATTTGGATACATTAATGATACATTTAAGGAAACACATCATGCCATGCCAATCTCCACGGCCTCACGCGTCCGTTTGGTGATCGGAGTCGTGACCTTTTGGGTTTCAAAGGTTTTGGGGGTTGTCTCAAATGGGGGATTTCTACTCCAAGATTTACTGCGAAGCTATCGGGAGGTGAAATTCATGAATCATGGGATTCGTGGCTGTTCCAAACTTTCAGTCAACCCAAATCAGTTCCGGCATGACAAATAAAAATGCACTACAAACTTCTACAAAGGATTTTGAATCGACTTGAAAGTCATTCTGTTTCCCCCATTGGTAGTCGGTGGCACCATTTCAATCAGTGGGATTGAACATCAGCAAAGGCCCGACCCAACGAGCTCCAAGACCAAATTGTGTTTGGTTGTTAGCTGTTTCCCCAAATAGGTTTCCCCAAAATTTGTTGTTTCCCCAATGAAATTCTGTTGTTGCTCTGTGAAACCCTTGTTCCCGAGAGCGTCTGAGCACAGGGTTCTTCTAATAGTGGGGGTCTGTAAAACATCTTATCATCTTCATCCTCACATGTTCACATCTTCTCATCTTCACATCTTCTCATCCTCACTTCCTCACACCTTCACATCCTCACATCCTCACATCTTGACATCCTCACATCTTCTCATCTTCATCTTCCCATCCTCACATCTTCTCATCTTCACATCTGCTCATCTTCACATCTTCACATCCTCACATCTTCACATCCTCACAACTTCATCTTCACATATCTTCACATCTTCTCATCTTCACATCCTCACATCTTCACATCTGTTCATCTTCACATCTTCTTCTCCTCACATCCTCACATCTTCACATCTTCTCATCTTCACATCCTCACATCTTGCCCTCTTGCTCTCTTGCCCTCTTGCTCTCTTGCCCTCTTGCTCTCTCCTTCTTTTCTATTTCTCTCTTGAAGGCGCGGGGCAGTGCCAGCGAGACGGCACGAAACGCAACCCTTTCGCACGAAATGACGTTCGATCGCCAAAAACTGAGGTAAAATTGCGAGTTGCAACGCGTCCGGCGCAACCCCTTCGCACGAAATGAGGTTTGATCGCCAAAAACTGAGGTAAAATTGCGAGTTGCAACGCGTCCGGCGAACCCTTTCGCACGAAATGAGATTCGATCGCCAAAAACTGCAGGTAAAATTGCGATTTCCGGGTTCCCGTCGCAACCCTTTCGCACGAAATGATGTTCGATCGCGAAAAACTGCAGGTAAAATTGCGATTTCCGGGTTCCCGTCGCAACCCTTTCGCACGAAATGATGTTCGATCGCGAAAAACTGTGGTAAAATTGCGATTTCACGGGTCCGGTCTCTGTGCGTAAAAGTGTTTGTGTGTGTAAAAGCGTCTGTGTGTGAAAGTGTCTGTGTGTAAAAGCGTCTGTGTGTAAAAGCTTCTGTGTGTAAAAGTCTCTGCGTGTGAAAGTGTTTCTGTAAAAGCGTCTGTGTGTAAAAGCGTCTGTGTGTAAAAGTGTCTGTGTGTAAAAGCGTCTGTGTGTAAAAGTCTCTGCGTGTGGAGGTGTTTGTGTAAAAGCGTATGTGTGTAAAAGTCTCTGTGTGTAAAAGCGTCTGTGTGTAAATGCGTCTGTGTGTAAATGCGTCTGTGTGTAAAAGCGTCTGTGACTAAAAACTTCTGTGTGTAAAAGCGTCTGTGTGTAAAAGCGTCTTTGTGTAAAAGCGTCTGTGTGTAAAAGTATCTGTGTGCAAAAGCGTCTGTCTGTGAAAGTTCTGTGTGAAGAAACTATACGAAAGATACGATGCAAACTACTGTCTTGTGTTTGTGATATATTGTCTTGATACTACTCTTCTCGTCTGCCTATAGTACATCTTTAATATATTGTCTTGTAATATAGTGTCTCCATACTAACAACAGAAGACTCTGCTCCCCTACGCTCTCGGGCCATCCGTCGTCTAGTTTTTGATTGAACTCAAGTGCTCAACCCCTCAACAAACTGAGGCCACTGCGACGTTCGATCCAGATGACCGCTTGAGGTCTGCTGGACCTTACAGGTGAACTCTGGTCGTTGAAAGGGCAACTGACAGGAGTCAGAATCGTACCCTACCACATAAACATGGGCAGGACAAACTGACAAACGAGTCGAAATTAAGGAACAACATTGGGGATTACTCCGTGGCAACCTAGCCTGACCATGGAAAAACCCGCCATTGCAAATAGTTATAAGAGAGGATTTGACAGTAACATGGTTGATTACCAAAGGGGTAGCAACCCCAGAACATATGCACAGTTAGAAACTGCAAAAAAAATGAGGCACACATCATATGATTGTATAATAAATATATACATATATATAAACAGATGTACAATTGTATATATATATATATACACATATTGTATATGATTTCTTTGAATACCTGTTCTATTCATTTTTTGAGGATTCTATATAATTCAAACATATTCAAACCTATATGTTGCCTGATCCCTTGTTGTTGTTGTTGTTGTTGTTGTTGTTGTTGTTGTTGGGTATGAAACAGTTCATACTTGTGGCTGCCCCAGTTACCAATTACATTAAATCTCCACGTTGTGTGGTAGGACTTGCAACTGGCAGAGATGGGGATTTTTGACTCCGGAACAACGCTGCTTGATGGTTATGAATTTCATTTTGTAAAGAAACGCTAGAAGGATACAATGCTCCCACCAATTTGGATGTTGGACTGTGAGTTGGAAGAGACTATTTGCTGGCAGTATTGGCGCCTGCAAGGGCTGATACTACGAGGCAGAATAACCCATGGATGAGAATCCAAACATAAACCAACTAGGAACCAGCTCACTGTCACAGGAGGAAGTGAGTAGACAAGCCTTAATCAAATGTGTTCATGCCCAAAGAGTTGAAACAGGTTTCTTGGTTCTGTTTTATCATCTGTAGCCCACTTCAGGATGGATAGACAAGCATCATGAATTACTCTTCAGGTGGAACAACAATAGTTTATTGATCATCGTTTATCTCCTTCAGGATGGAGAAACAATCATCATAGTATTTCACATCAATACCTGGTGACCCTGGTGGGCACGTGGGGAAACGTTAACGAAACAACATCCCTCCGTGCTGAAACACAAAAAACACAAGATGTGTTCTAGTTGGTTAATATGGGTTAGTAGTATCATGTAATATCTCTTGAATGTCCATGTGTATCTTCAAACTGATCTTGCATCGCAACATCAGAACAAGACAAACTAACAACCAGGATGATGATAGTCACAAAAGTATGTACAGATATGTACAGTAATTGTATGATATACTTGAATCAAATATTCTTAAAATCTCATGAAACTTCAGCTTCTATGAATCAACGACAATGCGTTAGTTTTCAACAAGTATAATTTTGATGTATTGTGTGTATATATATATACTGTATATGTAATACTATATATATATATACACATTAAACACACATATATATTTATAACCTACACATATTCAGATTATCTACCCTCCGCATCCCTCCGCCAAGTTAACATAGCCATGGACTGTTTTGCCCACCTTGAGCCCACCGAGCTGTAAGTGGTCGAGCCGTTCCGAGCAGCCTCGGATTGTGATTTCCGGTGTGTCAATGGGAGGACACCCACCAATTTGTAGTGATTTCGTGGTGAAAATCAAATCAAATTGGTGATTCACCACTTGATTTAGAAAAAAAATAGGGGTCCTGTAATTTTCGGAAACCAAGTTGCTTATGCTGCAGAATGCTGCAAAAAAAAATGCGTGTTAGCCGCAAACACATGGTCTTTTGCCACTCGAAACCCATGGCTAAAAGCACCTCCAAAAACATGCGTAAAACTTCCACGCCAAGGACACGAAGGTTTCACACCACGTCCTGGAACATCCCCATCAGAATTGTTGGTTGACCCATGAACCCCTGGCATATGCTAC